TTGACAGCCATCAGGTGGGATGACGTATCGTAAAGTTTGATCAAATTCTTTTCAGTATTTATGATAACTTTGCTATTAGTTATTTGCAGTTTTCGTCATCACTGATTGTAAAATTTGAAACGTTTTTTAGCACCTGTTTATTATTTTCAATAATACCCCGGTCACATATTCACGGAAAACGCCTACGGAAGAGCCACGGATTAATTTCGGCATCGTCAGTAGTTACCCGTACTGGTCTGTAGCTCTCCGTATTGTAACCGTGATCAATCGTAGTATTCCTTGTATATCCGTAGCGATCCTTGACAATTTTTGAACATGCACAAAAATTTGCTACGGAAAAACCAACCGTAGCGTATCCCTATTAGTCCGTATTAAACCGTACTGATACGTACTTGTCCGTACGTAAACCGTTCTAGTCCGTACTGATTCGTAGGCCCCAACTTGTCCACGGTTTGGTACGGAGAACTACGTATGTGTACGGTTACCCTACGTATAAGCTACGGTTTTAATACGGATTAATACGGCATTATCACGGAAAGCCACGATCGTAATACGCTCTACTACGGAGAGGCAAGGATTAGCACGGTCTTTTACGGTTTATTGCGTTGCATCACGAAACGGTACGGAATGGTACGGTCCACCACTGTTTAGTACGGATAAATTAAGTATCATGTACTTTTTACTGCCTGCTTGTTCAAAACAGATATTTGTGTGAACATTCAATAAATGATAATTGCCATTAATTGGCTGCAACTGTATATTGATATGGCTCAGAATACGGAGGCAGTGGTCGAACTGCTTCATGACATGCATAGAGGTAAAAAAATATGTTAATATCGTACAACAATGCATAAGTATATTTTACAAACCATTGAATTGTGAAATGGAAGTAAATATGTACATAAAACGAAGTGTCTCATAAGCCTCGGACGCTGGCCCTTGAGTGATACTAAGATTAATTAACAAGCATTTTACATATTCTTAAAACATAAACATTCACGATAATTAATGTAATTGTAAATGAACAGCACCTTTTAAAATCAAAAGAGAAGCAGTATTGATCAACATTTTTCATTAATGATTACTGGTCCATATCTAATCAGGTAAGAGAAGACAGAGGTAATGGTTGACTAGAGATGGGCTTTTACGAAGACCCCTTCATGTTTAGTATGAGGCTCTCATGGCCGAACTTGTTGAGGATCCGGCGTCCTTCAAGAAATTCACTATAATCAGACCTGATATGTCTCGGGGGTCGGACGCGATGAGGCCGAATCATTTCCGCCAAAATCATTGAACTCTGCAATTCGTTTTCCAGGTGTTCTTTTCTTGTGAGACATTGAGCATGCAAGAGGTTGTGGACGGATATAATAGGTCCGTATAGATCCGTGGCAATTCGTTCTTCTCCGTATCAATTCGTTCTTCTCCGTATCAGACCGTACTTATTCGTACTAACCCGTGCTTATACCGTAGCAGACCGTAGTGTATCCGTAGTGCGTCCCTCCTGATTCGTGTCGCTCCGTATCAAAACGTGTCGGTCCGTAACAATCCCTGTCTCTCCCGGGGCTTTTGGTGGTAAATCCGTCGAACTCCGTACTCATACCGTTGTGTGTCCGTACTGGAACCGTAGCGGACTACGGTATTTCACATTTCCGTTGTAATCCGTGAACAATTGGACCGTTGCTCTTCCGTGGCATTATCCGTGAATATGTGACCGGGGCATAAGCTAGTACTTACTGATACAAGCATTTCTATATTATTGTTTCAAAAGTTGAATTTGTATATTCGGTCTTACTTAAATTGTTCCAAGAATGCAGGTCTAATTGTGGACTTTTTAAACTGTTCCAAGCATTGGTAATGTAAATCCAGTCGTATTAATTATTCCGTATATTACAAACCATAATCTGGTCCTTATAATTAATTATTCCATATGTCACGAACCATAATCTGGTCTTATTAATTATTCCTTATATCACAAACCATAATCTGGTCTTATTAATTATTCCTTATATTACAAACGATAGTATGGTCTTATTAATCATTCCATATATCACAAACCTAAATCTGGTCTTATTAATTATTTATTGCAAATCCAAAACTTGTCTTAATAATTTTTCCAAGCAATGCAAATCTAAATGTGGACTTGTTAGTTAAAGGAAGCATTGCAAATTTTAACCAATAAATCTGCACTAATTAATAATATTTCAAGTTGTTTTTGCCAAATCAGTGATAAAGCAATTGATATACTGTTACATAAGATTTCAGTGTTAATTATGTTGAATTATCTAATTTATGTTGCCAATAAAGTAATTTTTCTAGTTTTGATCTATTTGTAGATTTGTGATATGTAACAGTCTGCATAATTAAGTGAAGAAAATAAATAATTAAACCTTTTACATTCATCAGTTATTTGTATATGCCCAGAATAAAAGATAAAGTAATTTACTGTCATCTCTTTCATATTTTAATTAAGCAATTTATAAATTATAAATGCAAACTTTTTGTGGTTATTATATTTTGATAAAGTAGGAAAACCGCAAAATTGCAATAATTCTATGAATTTTCATAAGGTGCACTTTTAACCGATTTTGCTGTAGACACATTAAATGTTCAGATGATTTTATGACTCTAAAGATAAGAAATATTTAATAAATATTTGTGAAAATTACTTGTTTTGACAAATTTGAATTTCTATTAGTTTTATGATTTATCAATAATATTTCTATAGATCTTGGTGATTGAAATTATTGAGGGAATTATGTAATAAAGGGGGGTGAACTCCTTTTGGTTAATTGAATAAAGGGAATTAACTCTTTTTGTTTTGTAATAAAGGGAGTGAACTCATTTTAGTTAATTGAATAAAGGGAATTAACTCTTGGACTACATTATAATTTCTTTTCTTTTATATTTTACTTTGCTACTTAAATGTATCTGAATCATCCGATATAATATTATGAATGTTGTTTTTTTACATTCAAAAACTAAAAGTGATATATTTCTTTTGCAATTCTTCATAAAAAATGGAAAATAGGAATTATAAATTCTCATCCCTTGGTATTTCACTTAATAAGAGAAAAGTTTTCTATGCAGGTGGCCCTAATTACTTCAACATGTCTGCTGGAACAGGTTTACACCCTGAGCTGAGATTTTGTTTTTTTGAAAACTGGCAATTTAACTACATGGTTTTGACCTATATGACACTTTTATTGAAAGTAAAGTTGTTTTTTATATGAGAGTAGAAGATTCATTAGCAGTTATAGAGGAGTTTAATTGTATACTTGATAAAAAAAATTGTTCTTTTAAAAAATTTTATAAGACTTAATATTATATTTTTGAAAAAAAAAATATTTTTGTTATATTAAATATTATGTGAATAATTTCTTTTAGTGTTCATTTAAATATCTCAATGGTGTTTTTAACAACAACAAAAAAAGTTAAAGATATATATAATAAATCTAATGTTTATGGAACAATGTCTTGTATTTTATTGTGATTAAGCTCTTCTAGTGTTTATGTAAATCATTCAATGGTGTTTTGTAAAAACAGTTTAATATATTAATCATAAATTTGCTCTCAAAGTCATCATTTATCATCATCATCTTCGTTATCATATTTGTCATCATCATCATCATTATTTTCATCATCAACATCATAATCATCATTATTATCATCATCATCATCTGTTTTAACTTCCCCATCTAATTCCCCTCTTGTATGACTTCAATTATTTATTACTTTTAATTATCACCAAATTATCATTATAATCGTCAACAATATCACTTAAAACACCATTATCATGAACTTAATCATCATTATCACCATGAACAACATAATTTAAAATATCCGTATATCTATAAATAAATGTACTATTATAATATTTTTGGTCTAATCGAGAAGGAATATATGTATTAATGTATCAAAGTTTTAAGGTTAAATATTTAAACTGACTGATCTGACAAGTACAATAGGTATGATCTAGTAATGTAGATCATAATACCTCCACAGCCCTTAATTCGTGTTTATTTACCAGTCATCTATTGTCTTAAAATTTAGACTTTAAATGTGAAAAATTATATAATTTAACAACTGGAATTAGTTAGAACACTCTATTACCAGATAGATGTATCTTTTACTTGGGTTGCAAATATTTTCATTATGTGCATATATTTGTAGGGAAAACATTTAGCATTGACGTATTAATTGATTCTCGGCATGGGACTCCATGTATGTATTGAAAAATGTTGACTTAATGGTGAACAGTTTGTTAAATGTAAATATTTGTTTAGTTGTATATGTCCTTGCAAAAACGAGAAAACATACTTTGTTTGGCAAATAATGATTTGTTGAGGGGTGAAATAGGATATTAGAATAAGTGTCTCAGTATACTCTGCGCTTACTTGTATCGAAGGATTGCCTCATTTGCATGAATTTAGGTCATAAGCCGTAGGCTATCTTTGTGTAAGTAGTGGATCAATGGGAGTTCACCAGGTGCATTTGTTATGAGGTCATTGAAATATGCGTGTTCGGGATCAGAGATTCCATTCCGAATATTTAAAAGTAATTCCTGCTCATCGGCCTGTGAAATTATAAGGTATTAGTTAGCATGATGGGGTATAATAGCACAGTATGCTTTTTGTATAAGCACGTACCCACACAATTTTTTGTTTGGGCATTAACTGAAGCAGAAGTAGGTGACAAAAAAATATGACTCGGAGAAAAAAAACACACAAAAAAAACGAACTTAGCTACGAATGTAGTAATTTTCAGTCCTTTGCAAAGATAATTTCCCCGTTGCTTTCAAATAAGCACATAATTACAAAAAAAAAAGATTGTTATGTGTTTTAATTTTGTTAACCATTGACAGTATGATGGATTGAATGGTCTCGACCCATTATGAAAATAAATAGATAAATTATAGAATTTTACAGTTTATCAATCTAGAATTTTTCCATTGATTTTCATAGGAAAATTATCTTCATTTTCTGATGATTTTCTATTTTCAGTTTTGAGGACTCGAACAGTAACGGGTATGGAGACGGAATTCCCAACCCGTACAGACCCATGGACCTGAGACCAGATTACAATGGCATTGAACCAATGCATAAAAGTCGTAAAAATAAGGAGGACAAATACTGTGGGGTTTGTGGGGACCGAGCTCTTGGATACAACTTTGACGCTATTTCATGTGAATCATGTAAAGCTTTCTTCAGACGAAATGCTCCTAAAGGCCTGGTAAGTTAGTTCATCAGTTCTTCATCATTTTTGGCCAATAATACAAAAATAATATTTGTGTTAATTAACACAGAAAATTATCTAACAACACAAAAATATGTTACGCAACACAAAATTACAAGCTTGAGAAAAAGCTCACAGAAAATGGCAATGTTATTGAGGAATAATTTTTGCAACAGCTAAGTAAACTCACAGTTTGTTTTACAATACAGAATAGAAAATAATTCACAATGTAGAAAATTAATTCAACATATATATAGAAGGTTTACTACTTTGAAAATACCTTGCAACAAAATGTATAATTATGGTATTTTAAACACATTTATATTTTCTTTTTAACACACACAGTCACATTGATTTTAACACGGGCACGATTTTCATAATGGTATTCTGCTATAAAACACATGCATGTATATACATTCAAAATTTATGTTTTAATTGCAACGCAGGTTCTATAGTATGTACTAAGCAATGTCGTGCTACCCATAATACACTTTATAGGAAGTCAAATCGCGCAAACGCGATTATGTCTAGTACTTCAAATACAAATCGAACATTACCGTAATTATTTTGTTCAATTACATTGCAAATAATTACATTAAATTCGATTTCAATGAGGTCCATTTACATATACAATGGTTAAAACAAAGAGCAGAATATGTTTGAAATCCTTGTCAACCAAAGCAAACAAACAAAAACTGCAGCCACATTGGAAATGTGTTTAAACTTATATTGCATAACATGACATTTTGATGGAGACTCCATGTCGTGCAGAACGTTGTTGGAGTGAATTTTTTTCCTGCCCTGTATCTGGTTTATGCTACCTTTTGATATTTAGAAAAGTAATTCTAAATATAGCATTGTTGTATAAATGTTAAGTTCATACGTTTTTTGTTTACTTTTCCTCACTAGAACGCTGAAATTGCGAAAAAAAGTATAATCAGTATATCAATTTTAATAAAATATATTTTGTACTTCTAGAATGAAAATCATGATAAGTCAATCAAATAGCAAATGAAATTGCTCGGTATACATGTTTATAATATATATAATTATGTATTTATATTATTTATCTGTATTTGTATATTATATCTGTACATATGTTCATATATCTGTAAATTATTAATAGTTATAACTAAGATTTTTGACAGGTTATATGGCCCTATATAAATGCTGTTTGGAAATATAACCCAAGCTGCTAGGCAAGGGTTATATTGATATACGGTCATATAACCTGTCAGGAATATTTATAACAAATTTTAATATAAAACCGCAAACTTGCTTTTTTGAGAAAGAAAGTGTGATTCGTATATATAAAACCATATAAAAGTTAGGATTATCCATTGAAAGGTGACGTTACAAACGTGTATTATTATTATATATGAAGTATTTATATATCTGTTTCTATGATTTGTTTGTTTGTTTGTTTCATTTTACGCCTTTTTCCAACAGTATTTCAGTCATATAGGCCTGTTTCTATGAATTCATATATCTAATGACATGTATTTATATGTAAAAGCTGTATGTTATGAAATACATCTATACATATACATTAAGTTGCATTTAGTATTTGAATCCCGTACTGTATAGGGGTTACTGAGTACGTTTTTTGGCATCGATAATGTAAACAAACATTCTGGGTTCAGGACTGACTAATAATGTTAGGAGATTAGTTTATAACATTTCATGCATGATAATGTGTTTTTGTTCTTGTTGATTTGTGGTTTATTTGTTCTGTTGTTTTAGTTTTTAAAGTACAAATGCTGTGATACTATCTTAGCATTATGTTACAATCACAGGAAAACTTTGGGGTTGAACGTCAATTAGTCACTATGAACAATTAGAATTCCTAGTAAACGCCCTGTCAATATGGAAAATGTCACGCCAGAAAATAGAGAGCCATTATCAGGGAATAGTGATGATCATTTTAGATGGTCTATTAGACTAGAAAACCTTTGTGACTGATTCTATAATACATGATGAATGTTATACTAAGGTCACGGTCACTGGTTGAATATAGAAAATTTTGTTTATCAATTTCGCTCATTTTTAGGTTCCTCAAACCAGTTTGTACTTTGATTTTTCCTTTGAAAAGTTAAAAGTTTCTTTGTAATGTATGATATTATTATGCAGTTTTTGTATAGGTTTAGAAAAAGTTTAATGGAATGATCTTGTAGAAAAATACCCGGTATGTGTTTGGAAAAAAAAACATTTGATTTTTGGAAATATAATGGTTTTTCTTTTTTATTCATACTTTTTTATTGGTGGCAAAACATAATTTATTTTTTATAAATGAATAAATATTTAAATGTCATGTGGTTTTCTCAGATTGCCGAACCTATTGCTGGAATTAAAATTCCAGGATGTCTGCAAAAAAATGACTGATACATAAAAAGATCCTAAAGCTTTACTGATGCACCTTAAATCATGACGCTTAGAATAGAATTTAACTTTTCATTTTTGTTTTAAGATATTTTTATTAAAACATAAATTATGGTTTGTTTTTATTGGTGTCAGAGTTACTAATTTTAGAAAAATTGTACATTTTTTTCGAGATTTATGCAGATGATTTTGATGTATATATAATGTATATAATAACTTGTGTCCATTGGCTCAATAAGTTTTTCTAGAAAATTTATTCTGTTTATGGAAATTGACTCCCAAAATTGAAAAGTGTTGAAAATCGGGCTTAGGATAGGACTTTTAAATACAATTTTCAATGAGTATATTCCTAATATTCTTTTGTATATCATTCTGTTTTAAGTACATGTATCCCAGTTGTTTTATGCACAGAATTTTAGGCTTTTGAAAATCAATAGAAATCCTTTAACATCTGTTACTGAAAGGGCAATTTTAAGTTGTATGCAATTCCAAGTAAATGCTCAACTGATCCTTACAATATTTCCCTATGTTCAATTTCCCGCCTTTTGTTTTTCTTTTTTTCCGGGAAACGTACATTTTTTTTTCTGAGGCAGCTTGTGTAATGGTTTGTTTATGAAGCTGTTTTGCATTGATTCGTTTTTTATCTGCAGTTTGTAATGTTTGTTTTTATAGCTGTGCGCAAGCTATGTTGCAATCTTAGCAGCTGAATAGATTTAATAAGTTTGGACACCTCTGATGCATGTTAAGCAGTATTGTAATCTAAAACAAACAAGTTTTGCAACATATGGCACCAATGTACACTAATGTACCCTAATGTACCGTAATGCACCCAACAGTTTATCGTAATGATGGAGATAAGAAAAAGTGAGGAAATGAGGCCATCTGTATTATCAAGAAGTCATAACTCCTTAACTTATTTATATGATTATGACATAAAAGTGATTTGAACAGATTAACCATTTGTTTTGTTATTTTTGTGTTCTTTATAAGCTGCTAAATATTCATGGTTGTTTTGATGTATTTAGCCGTAACATTAAATTATACACTTTTTGTGTCTATTGTCAATAGACTAGAAGGACTGAAATATTTGTTGTTCAGGACTAAATAATATTTGTCATATTAATTTTGTATGTTATTAAGAAATAAATAATTCAAGGGTTCAATTAAAAAAAAAAAATATGATGTTGATTTTATTATTTCTAAGAAAAATATTTAGTCTAAATTATGGACAAGGATCAATGAACAAATTTATTACAAATTTGAAACTTAAAGGGTCTAATTAAGTTCCTACTTTAATTAAAACCCTTTTTGACTATAATTTTGTTAGCAAGAATTCAGATACCTGCCTTGTTTCTAATTTTATTTTTCAAATTATCTACTATTTTCCTTTCAATACACTTTTTGTCCTGAAAATAGATGCATTTTCTTAGAAGAAAAAAAAAAGAGACACAAAAAAATTAAGATTTTTGCCTTGATACTTAAAAGTTTGAAGTATTTAATTTATTGAAAAGTGTCAGTTTATCACACACAGAAAAAAAAAGATTATAAGAAAAAGGGGGGGGGGGAAAAACAAAAAAAATTCAGTCTGAGATGACATTAGAATTGCTGGGGTAAAGTTTTATTATTGCAATACAAATACATTCATAGCACTGATTCATTAAAGCTAAAAATAGTAACATTTTGATGCTCCGGAAGTGTACATTGCTGTCAATTAACCTTTATGCCAACTTGATCATATTTTTACGACATCTTTATTGATTTTCTGATAGAAATATTCGTTCCATATCTCTGCTCAATTTTAAAGAGATTATAATGTTAAAATAGGTAGCACATGTTTTGATGAAAGCTGAGTGAATTTGCAAGATGAAAGCTTATACTGGGCTGCGATCTTTCTTTTTAAACCAAAATTCCTCGGATAATCCTTGATGTTACCTATATCACTTTCCATATTTTCGTTGCATATAGTTTTCAAAAGTTTCGATTGTCGTTATGAAATTGCAGAAAAATTGATGGTATTTTATCAGCTCTAACCTGTTGTATTTTTAAGAATACTTTGAAACTTGAAGTCTTTGATGTTATGCACTGAAAAGTATAAAAATCCATCGATATATTTTCTAAATATATTTTTTTTTTCTTCCGCTTTCTGACAAGATTTTTATTTATTTAAAATGAACAATTCTATACTATGAGAAAAGAAAATATTCGTATTTTATTTACCCATTTGATGCCATTGGTGATCATGAAAATAAAAAAAAACGTCTTTTTTTTCTACACCCGCATTTACGTTATAGCCAGAATTGATGATTTCTTTATTTCTCCGTGATAATTTTGTGAAGTGGTTAAAATACAAGTCTTGTAAATGTTGAAAAGAGGGAAATTAAGCAAATATTTACTCTGCATTTCAAAAGCCGTTTCTGTTCATTCATCGACTAATGTCAAACTGTTCTATGTCATCGTAAATTTTAAACAAACATACATCATTTGTGATTTCACCAAGTTCAAAACATTACACAAGATGTTCTGAATGAGGCTATATTAACTTGAGAAGGAGATTTTTCTCAAAAGATATTTTTTTATGCAATATTTTAAGATATATTTTTTTTCTATTTTAAGTTAAATTGATGTTTGCCTAGGGGAGCATAATATTTTTTCGAGTCGAATAGATACTTGAGAGCCATTGTGTTCAAGCTTGCAATGTGTCTCATAGAATAGGTTTATTGACAAATTCTGTTCAAATGATCTTTGCTTACTGTAATGAAAAGCTGTAACTGCAGCCTTTCGTACCAAAAATAAAAAATTTTATAAAGGTTTTGATATATATTCAATTTGATGGAAGGTTATCGAGTGTATTTAAACATTTTTAAGGAACGAGTATGCCTAACTTTAATTGTTCGCTGAAAGAATGTTTTGTCAATTTAAGAAAGCATTTTATAAAGTTATATTCCTGTTTAGATGACTTTTAAAAGATTACCATGAAGTGTTTATTAAAATTCTATTTGGTAAAGTTATGTAGGTGAATTTCTTTAAGTGTGATGGATCTAAGATTTAGGAAGTTTAGGAACGCACTTTAAAGGCCCATTGTGCCTTTGAATGCTGTCATTTTAATTTCACAAAAACTTATTATTTTTGGTATCTTGGTACAGTTTTCAAACGATTAGTCATTTTATGAATGCAGAGTTTTAGATGTATCTTTAATTAAAATAGATAATTATTTTGAAAAATTTAGAAAAAGTACAGTTTTTATAGCAAGTATATATCATTGTTGTCCAAGCTCTCGTCTGTAAAATTGATTTGACATTGAAGACTTGTGGAGCCAGGGACCAATGTAAAACATCACTTGTCAGCAACCAGGTGACACTAAACATACCATAAATGTCCCATACCTTGTATCTTATTGTCCATGTATTTCTTAATTGTTGTTGAAAAATCAAACAATGAAATTCGTGAAATTTAGCAAAAATAAATTGATTAAAATGTTATATTTCATGACTGATGCAATTCAATTAGTAGTGATTTCAATACCAGTTTTGATATTAAAGTAAATGGTTATATAATTATGTTGAGTGCATTCTTATTGTGGAACCTCTGACATCTGCGTCAGGGAATCAATTCTATGGTTCAGTGGTCAGTAGCATTGTTACTTTCAATTATTATATAATGCTGCTGGTTGCGAGTTCGAATCCTAGCCATGGCAAGATCTTTTATGATACATTTGCATCTCTCTGCAAAATGTTCCTAAGATAATTATATAATAAAACCTAATGGTTGAAATTTAATGTTTTTTGTACTTTTATTATCTTGTGTTTTGGATTGATTTCTATAGTTAATTATTGCATGTTTAAGTTTTTGTTTGAAGACAATGGTGTCAAAATAATTTTGGTCATTTCAAGCTAGTAATAGCATTTACATTGTTTATATCGGCTAAATCCATGCCCCACAAATCCCTGTGGTTAACCAGCGCTGGAAAAAAATATGGGTAAAGCGTATCAACATGTGGTTTTTTTAAATATACAAATTTATTCATGCTCTGCTCCATTATATACAATATCGGAGAGAAATGTACCGAATGAACCCTGGTATAAGATAACCATCGGTCTCATGTATATCAAAAGCCGCGCAGTGATTTATTCGCTCAAAACACACACAAGGTTTAGTTTTTTCCATAATAGAGAGGTGAGGGGGGGGGGGGGGGTAGTATATGAAGGTAAAATTTGAAAATACCTTGAAGGCTATGATGATAATGTTTCATGTTTTTTTTACGGTGTTACTTGTTTTTGTTCGCAATTAAGTTTCTTGTTGAAAATGTAAAACACCGCGGTTATTGTTATGAATAAGCTAGACATGTATTTTATGCTGGCCGTTACATTATAATTACTCATTTCTCTACAGTTTTTGTCATTCCTCCATTGTGACATTTTGTACAACTTGTTAAGTGGGCTGATTTTTTATTAGGATGGCTTTTATTTTATTTTTTTGCCTCGTAAATTTGGAGGGAAATGCTTTTCACAAAAGCAGTCTGTTCTTCTTGACCCTTTTTTTGAGTATTTATGAAGAGAGGGTTTAAATAAAGCACATTGTTATGAATTGGCATTACATTTAGTTATAAATAAGAGAAAATTAGGCATCGAAAAAATTTTACTTTTTTAAACAGTTGCACACTATTTTTTTTTTTTTGTTCAAGATCCTTGTCAAGAAAAATCACTCGGATTTGTATTCATAATTGAGTTCTGAAAAATATACCTAGATAATGCATTATTTCTCTTAATTAATTTTTTCCTCGGGAATTAACCTACGTTCATTTTGTTAAATTTTTTTATTGGAAAAACTTGAAGGCTCTGTTTCTCAGTTTTAAACTTCAGAAGTGTAATTTAATTAAGGACGTTTGTACTTTACAATATACAAAACTTAATATGTATACTGTAAAGTTAAATCAATGATTTTTTTTTTTTACATAATGCTTTTCCAGAATGTTTGGCTTATGAATTTATTTCCTTAGTTTTGTTTATTTCCGTTGTGGTTAACATTTTGTATTGAGGATTTTCTACATTAGCATTTATGATAAATTAAAGTGAGGAAAAGTTTTCATCAATAATTAATATGAAAATGTGATGGATGAATACTGCACGGGGACACGCATGTCAAGTGTTTGTTGATTTCAATTTGGAATGTTTTCTGGTAGCCGACCTACAGGTAGCTTTGTTCGAGTTATCGATTACCAATTTACGGAATGCAGGAATTCAATTGAATTTGATCAATTGAGATGGATCATGGGATACGAATAATTCCCGCTTTAATGAAAATGTATCTGTGCTAATACCGTTGAAGCCGATTTAAAAACATGGAAAGAAAAATAATTATCACGAGTCCCAGGGACTGATTGGATATGTACGGATGATCATATTGAACGTCTTGATTGCAAACTTCCGGGCGGAATAATTGCAGATTGTCGCAACTGCCGCCACTCACTGAGAAACAAAAATAGTTGATTATTGCGTGGAATATGAAATTTGATTAGATTAAAGATAGTTAAGGGTCTCAGTAAAAGAATGAGGCTGAATGCCTGATTTGTTGTATTAGTAAAACAGATAGATGTGTGGGAGGCGGGATTAATTGGAAAGGTGACGGTGACTAATTGAGTTCCTTGGTCAATAAACAACACCAAATGAATCTAGTTATCTGTGGTCTAATTATCCATTGGTCAGATCTGGTTTTCAGAATACTTAAAAATGTTGGCTATATTTAGCTTGTAGTTCCTAATCACATATTTTTTAACATGGGAATTTTTGCGTTCATCCCAAGTTCCATTAAATGAATTAAAAACCAAATTTTTTTCCTGCCTCTGTGAGATGACACAGTTACACTGTCATGGTGATCTTTGATTTCGAAAAAAAGATTAATTGATCTGACTTGTCCTTGATTTAGAAAAAGATTGATCATTGCACATTTTTGCTTGTTAAGTTTATATGCTTTGCAGCTACAGTTTGCATATCTGTTTTCCATGGAGTTTTGCTGTTTTAGCTACTCCACATTTTGTGTTGTGGTATTTTTAGGAGTGTTATACGTGACTCATGCTTGTACATCAATATCTAATATTACCATATATACAGATGTTGTTGTAAGAAGAGTTAAAGGAAGTCATTTGAGGTTTTGACACATGTATGTGTTTTTATCAGCAGCATGTTAAAGCTATTCATCTTTTAAAGATGGTCAATCTCATTTTAAATAATATGTAAATAGCAATTTTTTTTGTTAGAACAGATGTTTTGACATTGCTTTAAGTGATCTTAGGAAGGACTTTTAAAGTTCCGAAATATTTGACTGATGGATTTTTCCTGGTATTATTTTATAAATCTGCAACTTTCATATTGGAATTCCATCATCATTTTCTCCATCTATTAAACAAATCCCTTTAAAAACAAAACATACTACTATGTAAATGTATGTGTCAGATGATTCAATAATACTTTATATTGTTAAAGAAGTCGAACCTGAATTCTAACTGCAGAAGAACTGATTAACTATGAATATTAACCTTTTTCTGTGTTTTTGACCTTCTGTGGATCTTAGCAATTAAGTTCAGCCATAAGAACTGCATAGCCAGGAATATTGACCTTTTTTCTGTGTTTTTCATCTTCTGTATGTACATTAGTTCAGCCAGAGGAACTTTGTGACAAGGAATATTGACCTTTTTCTTGTTTTGACCTTCTGTGGATCTACATCAGTTAAGCCATTAGAACTGCGTAACCACAATTATTGACCTTTTTCTATGTTTTCGACCTTCTGTATCCATGTTCTTGACCTGTATTCATACATTAGTTCAGCCGTACTATTTTCTACTTGCAGGATTACTTTAAGTGCCCTTATGAAGAGAAATGTAAGATGGACGTCTCCAACAGAAGATTCTGTAAGAGATGTCGGTTGAGGAAATGTTTTGAGATTGGTATGCGTAAAGAATATATCCTCACTGAGGAGGAGAAGATGCGGAAGAAACAACGAATTGACGACAACAGGTATGGGTAAGAAAAACATCCAATTTTTTACTCTCTTTTCATTATATTCGTGTTCGGTTTGAAGTGTCATACTGACATTTTGAAACGTCGTTCAGTTATTAACTTTCGAGCTTTACGGTGGAGGAAGATGTTCGGTGATGCTGAATTTTATTATTACTCGAAAGCTGCGGCACCAGAATACAACCACAGACATTCTATAAGTGAGCTAAATAGCTTTCATTCATGCAAGAATTCAAAGTCTTTGGTGGGATTTGAACCTGCATATGAAGGCAAGTGGCTAGGGATTTAACTGATGCCTGTGGCTTGAATTTGTGCTAGTATTTATTTTTATTTTGTGTATAAATCTGCTTCAAATTTTAGTTTGGCTAATATCTTTTAATGTTAAATACTTCAAATCAATATTTTATATCCCGCCTGGTCTCATCTTTTATTTATCATTTTGAAGAAATCAGAACAAGATGATCTTTTTTCCATTTAGATTATTTTTTAAGTGACATCCAGGCCAGCTTTTCCTGCTTATATCAACAGAATTTTGTTTAAAAATGATTCAGTGAAAAACTACAAATAAAGGGAGCGAACTGTCACTTTTACTTTTATGTGTTATTCATGGATAATGCCCTTGGTTAATAAAGGTTGCAGTTAATTATAGTATTTCACTTGACAGTATGATCATCACACTGTTGTACTGCATGAATGCTCATTGATAAAACTTGCAATAGTAAAACATTGATTTTAGATTGAATTTTATTGAACATATAATAAAAGATTAATTGTGATTTCGTCAGAATTTGAAAAAAATTGTTTATATCGTTTGCAGACGGATGAGAGACCTCGAAAAGAAAATGTCACAGTCTGGGGTCGTCACATCGTCATCAACACAGAAGCTCCGACCCTTGGAACCCGCAGAAGAAGCCGTAATAAATGAAATTGTTCAGGCTTACCGCGCATCTCTGTCTATACCCATCGAGTCAAAGGTTCCGAGAGATAATGCCAATTTTGCCGCGCTAGTTAATATCGCTGAAGTGAGTGTACGTAGGGTAGTGGATATGGCCAAAAAATTGAAAGCTTTTAAGGCTTTATCACAGACTGACCAGATTGGTTTATTAAAGGGAGGAAGTATAGAATTGCTCATTCTTAGATCTGTTATCTCATTCGATAAGGAAAACAATTATTTTCTAGATCCTTATGATAAGGACTCTTTGGCCATGTCAGCTGATCAGCTTAGGGAGGGCATCGAGAAACCGGGAGTCGAAGGTCTCGAGGGCATGCCAGGTTTGCCAGGATTCAATCAAGGTGGCGGACTCTTTGACGAGCATATGAAATTTGTCAAATCGTTAGCGATAGACTTGAAAGCCGATGAGACAGTGTTGATATTACTACTAATGTTGTCACTGTTCTCGCCCGATCGTCCCTGTGTACAGGATAAAGTGTACATATCCGCAGAGCAGGATAAATACGCGCTCTTACTTCAAAGGTATCTCGAATCCAAATACCCAAGTCACGTAGTTCGTAGCATCTACCCAAAGCTTTTGATGAAGCTAACAGATATTCGCAACTTGAATGAGGAACATTCGCAAGTTTTGTTGAAACTGAATCCCGAAGGTATTCAGCCATTGATGAAGGAAGTTATGGACTTGCACCTGAAAAAATCGGAAACAGATAGTGATTCGTCATCAGTTGCATCGCCATAGGAACATTCTATATTTAGATCATTACAGTTGAATTGCCGATTTATTTTAGGCAACATTTTAAGGAATGAGAATAGTCTTGTATTTGAGTCTGTACTTTTAAAAGGAAAAAAAAAGTTATAGATTTTGACTTTTGCCATCCAACTTACAGGGATAGATTTATAGTTGATTTGAACGTAGCATGTTCACATCGTCATTACTAGCAGATTATCGCTTGTTTTGGAGAAAACCCCCGCCAGTACGTATTTGCTCGTAGATGTAATGTTGTTTTATTTTTTCTGTAAATTAGTAGTAATAGTGATAAATAATAAAAAAATTACGTGATAACAAAAAATTACGTCCATAGAGTTTATTTGTACAGCCTCAATTCTGCTATTACCTCAGTGTAAAGATGTTTAGGTGTTGTACGCATAAATGAAATATTGCCATATATTATTATTATTATAATACTAGAGATCTCCGATTGATGATTCTATTTTGATGTTTGGAAAAAAAGTGTGATGATGGAAAAGGTGTTGTATTAATGGTTAATTGGAAAAGCCTGTTCTTGAAAGTTTTTTTTTATTTTTGATGTTTTAAAGTGGTACTTAGGATAAAAAAAAGTATATAAGAGAGAGAGTTTTTAGATTCTTATGTGCAGTAATAGAAACCGGTGAACTGATTTTTTATCATTTGAAACTCTGTTACTGACTGCATTTATGTTTGTAAAGAAAAAGGAGAACAAGTTTTCAATGAGATGGAAAATGGAAGACGTAGAGAAATATACTCGCAAATTATTAAAACAGACTGTTAAAAAAAAGCAAAAAGTCCACTTGACAGTTCAGAACGTCAGACAATTTTTATTTTGGTAATAAAATTGAATTCATTTCCCCGATAGGTTGAAGGTTTGAAATTAAATTTTAAAGGAACACCATATTTCTTAGTGTAATGGATTTTAAATAATACTCTAAAAGTCATAAAATCTAACAGGAAAGCTTCTTCACCAAATTTTTTTTATGTTTTTTTCAAGATTCAAACATGTCTAGTAAATATTATTACAAGTTGAAATAATTTATGAATATTGGCAAAAAAAGTGTTTGTGATATGATTGCTGTAGTTCTGTGGTAGTGTTGAAATGTAATGTTAGTGAAAGGTTATCTATAAAATGATATTCAACAAGTTTCTTCATTACAGAAAAGTTTTTTTTTTCTTTCTTTCCTTCGTTAGAAAATTGTCAATTTCTTACGACAACTGTTTATTATGAAAGTTAATATTTAGCTGAAATTATTCAGAATGCAACTCAATGCAGATGTTAAATATTGAGGTATTTGTCTGCGGAATTCCTAGCTACGTACATAAATTTCAAAAATTGTTGTTATTAAATAACATCAGTGTTTTTTGTTGGTTTTTTTAATTTTCATCCTATAGTCTCAGATATCTCATTCATCACTAACAAAATACTGTGAGAGAAATAATTTCTTTAATCACATTAATCTATGTATATATTTTGTTTGTGGATCTTTGTTTTATTTTTAAATCCTTAACCTGCAGAATTTTTAAAGTGGACCAGCCCAAGTTTCCATTAATTTTTTGGATGTGCAGACGGGTTGCAAAGTACTCAACCTTTTTGTTCTGGCAGGTTGGAGCTTTAAGAGAGTTCTTGTCATCTGTTATATTTCTTCTTCTTTTTCTGTTGTTATATTTTATTTATGTTATTTAAGTTGTGTTAAAGATTCTTTTTTTTGAAAATTTTAATGCTTGATTTTTTTTATTACTTTTAAAAAGACTAGATAATGAAATTGTCTAGGAGTTGGATTAATTTTTGTTTTTTGATAAGTAAAGCTTCGGATTTTTGACAAAATCCTCTTTTAGTGCAAAGAAAATCCTCTTTTAGGGGAAAAATCCCCTGTTAGACAAGTGTTCTGTTTTGGTGGGGGAAAACACCATTTTAGACAAAAGTCCTCTTTTAGTGGAAACAAAATCCCCTTTTAGACAGAGACAAAAGTCCTCTTTTAAATGGGAAAAATCGCCTTAAAGAAAAAGTTCTCTTTTAGTGGAAATAAATCCCCTTTTAGAAAAGTACTCCTTTTCAGAAAAAAATCCTCCTTTTAAGGTTACAGCCTCATATAAATGTGACAAAATTATAAAAGAGGATTCTGTCAGAAATTGCAGGGACTTTATATATAGTGAAGGTATTCACAATAAAATGTATGTATAAATGATTATTGTTTTAAGAACATTGTTGTTGAATTATATTGTTACAATATTTCTTTCTATTTTTCTTCACCTTTCACGATTTTTAATGAACTGTACAAGTAATGTAAGGGACGTGACAGAATGACTTATTTTGCTGTAACTGCAAACAAACAACCCTCCAAATTAAAGAAGCTATGATACTAATGAATGTGGACAGTCATTTTAACACCACCCTTGAACTTAATTTAGTAATATTCGGGAAATTGAAGCTGACCACTCCTATATTTGTATAATGAACTCGTCTCACTTTGAAATTTGGAACTGTCCATTGGTAATGTTAGGGGATGTTGTTATTAATATTCTAAAATTGAGCAGACGGCGGTATAAAACCTGGTCACACGGCACCATTTTGCTGGCTGATGTCAGCTGTGTACTGTTAACATTCTGGCAAAGTCAAATTTCTCAAGTTAATAAATTGTTAAAACCCAGGATAAGATATTGAAGGCCTTATTGAAAGTTACGTTATTGTATGTTTCATGTTATAACACTATTTTATGTCAGTTTAACTGCCTTATACAACTGTCAGAGCAGCTCTGTTTTCAACTTGTAACAATAAAATATTATTAAACTTGTTAAATTTTAATTTGTTTTAAGAATCACAGAGGTGCAGTACTTTGGCTATGAATTTGCTGTTAGATCTTTGTTTAATTTTGTTTTTCTCAAACGATACGAGTGCCTTTTTTCGATTGCCACTAGGAAAAAAGAAAGGGGTTTGGAATAAATGTGAAAAGGAATACTTTACACACAAATGTGTACTTGAATATGTAATATATATGTATTTAAACATTAAATGTTTACACCTCAAGAGTTACATGTTTAGACAAGATATTTACTCCCTTTTAGGACTGCTGAGTATTTCTCGGAAATTGCTTAGAGATGACATGTGGGTATATCTTGCTATTAAATTGAATAATTTTGTATTGGATTTAAGAAAATTTATTAATACTCAGGAAAAAGTCAGAAGACATTGATAATCTTTGTATTACTGGTATATAGGATCAAATTTCCAATAAATTTTGCAAAGTTTTTCACACAAAGAAGGAAACGAGGAGATTTCATATTAAAATGCTTTTATAACACAATTGCTGGTTTAAACTCTAAATAGATTCAGTGTTATTATGTTTGTTGAAAGACTCCAGGATAAACCCACTTGTCACCTTTATGTTTTTCCGTACTTGGAAACGACTTCACGCTGATCTGTTTCGTTTTGCTCAGGTAACCCATCTGCTATAATAAAAGTGATAACTGTACTTGCTCTTTAACTTGTAAACTTGTGCATATAATTTATGTTTTTTGTAGCATAGTAACGCTGTATTGTGATTATGTAGCATAAGTTATGCTAAAATAATTTAGCATTTAAAGCACAGAACAGTTAAAATTTGTTGCATAACGAACATTATGCTAAAATGGTAGTTGTAATATCCGTCTACCAAGAATATGAATTTGCGCGTTATATGAAATAATTGATGAGTTTCATATAAAAATTATTCTGCAGTTTGCAGACGGCTCAACATTTTGTGATTTCATAAAAGTCGGAAGTAAAACTGAAACCCTAGAATGTTAACTTTAACATTAACCTTTGAATCATTTTTTCATTATTTTCCTGGGCTTTATAGTAAATTCTGTCATTTAGCGTGTATTAATGCTTTTTCTCGACAAGATGTTAGAATATTTTAACGCATGTTTTTTTCAGAGCCAGACGGGCTAGACTAGTCGATTGTATTACAGGCAGCTGACACATGTAGGTCCTCCTCACTCCCTTCTGTTTGACGTCACTCGATGTAGATTTACGTTGTCAATTGTTGAGAAATTAGTTTCAAAATCTTGTTAAACTAAGTTTTCTGCATTTTTGGGACAAAATACTACCTTTTTTAGTACAAAATATAAGAAAGATTTTGTTTGTTTTAAACGATGTAATATATTTGCTAGGCTTTTAAGATTTTCCCTTCTACCAGTATAATGTAAGTTACTGATGTAAAAAAAATAATGAACGATCAGTTTCACTTGTGGTAGGAAAAACATTTTTTTGGGGGGTCATCATTTTGTTTTGGCAGCAATTATTTTTACCATTTGACCCATGTTGGATGTATTGGTAGATCCCCAAGTGCTAAATTTATTAGTACAGCTCATTTTATGAAAATCTAGCCCTGTGTAAAGTAGACATTGATGTTATTATTGACCATTTGTCGTACATCTCATTTTCATGGAACAGTTGTTTTATCATTAAAAATGGTGTGAAAAATAAAGGCAAAAGTAGAATTTACCTATCAAAGTTACCTGAATTTTTTTTTTTGAAAGATTTGACAGTAATGTAGTTAAGTACTGAATGTCCATAATTGTTCTTATTAATTTTGATACCTGATGTTAGTTAATAAGAGTGATGCTAGCATTGTTGTTATGAATAATCATGTATTAATTATAATTGTCTTTTTGTGATCATTTCTTCAAATTGTATCAGAGCTATTGAATATGTCTGTTTTGACTGAAGAGTTGGATTTTATATGTATAGCAAAAAGGTTTTTTGTACGAGTACCATTAAATGATATGGTTTATTTTAATATAAACTTTTAAAATTTTAAGAAATGATATTGACATATTATTTCACGGAAGTATTTATAATATAAGATTTTCAGTGCAGGCTATTTTTGTGACTTGAATTAGACAGTTATTTGGCTTGGGCAGTTACAAGTTATTTGCACAGTCAAGTTATTTGCACAGTCAAGTTATTTGCGCAGTTTTTTTTTAATTGAACAACAGTAATTCACACCGTGATTACTAGCATGAAAAAAGATGTCATAAATCCTTTTCTAGACTAAAATTGTGTGGTGCACTTGCACAGTCCATAGCTAGTTGAGTCTATATGGAAAGCGAGGGCAAAGCACAGTAACATTACGGGATCTAATTCATATATATATATATTATGTTATGTATATTTTGGTAAGCTTTTGTGATGTACTCGTGCCATAGTTTTAATATATGGAGAACATGACAGGCATATCAACTTTATTCAGGCTTGTCAATAATCAAGACGTACGTGGTAATGATGTTGAATTAATAATTTTTTTTACAAGTACGATTATCTTAAAATTTGATGTAATTTTAAGAACTCTAAAAATAATAACGAAAATGAAAAGAAGAAACAACTTTTTATTTGTGCAAGTTGTTTTTCATTTGTTGTTTGTTTTTTTTTCATCTCTGATCCTGATCATTTCATCAGACTTTTAAAAAAAATATTTTATGAAAGATTAAAGGCATATGAGAATTAATTTATTAATATGAAACATATTATATTTATAGTTCTTTAACAATTAACAACTCTTTCAATGTATACGGACTGAAAAAAAAAACAACTCAAAAACTACAGTAATTTCATGCTAGTATTGGGGCTTATTAGTGCCCTGTACAGACTTTTTTATGTATGGTGGGGTGTAATGGACAAAACGTCATTAACTAGCCACCATAACGTTTGTAAGCTTTTGCTGTGAATGCTTTAAGTGTGATATAGCCGTTGGGTCTTGAATGATATTGTTGGATTAAATGGCAGCCAGTACAAATGTATGTATGACAGTAAATGGCACTTTGTTAAATTCCATATTGCATTAAGTATTTTCATGTTTTTTTTTAAAAACATATTTAAAAAAAAAATAATTAAAAAAAAATCATATAGAACATATTTCTTGCCTATTTCTAAGATTTTTAGAGACAAAATTATTTAAATTTTGTATTTAAATTCAAATTGAAAAGACTTTGCTTGAATAGTCAAGTCAACTTTGCTTTATTTTAGAATTCTTTTATTTTTATTTTTTTTAGTTACATGGTAATTGACCAGATGTTAGGCTTATATATTCCATAAATTTAAGCATTAAGTAATGAAAATTTGTGGATTGCCTATCTCTAGAAAACATAAATAATCTGTTTCGATAATATTTGATAATATTCATAATACAATAAACAAGATCAACAAGGAACAATGAACACAACCCCACACGACCCAAAAGTTGTTCCTTATCTGATGAACAATTTTACTTCACCCTTTCAGAAAAAAAAAAGAAAATTTAGCAGCATACACAATTTTTGAAAATGGCATGTTGTTTTTGTCGTTTTTCGCTCCATCACAAAAACAAATTCTGCTTGTGTAAGCAGCTCAAAACATAACTATCGAAAATACATGTTTTTATATTTGTGCACTAATTGCCCCTGTTTTTTCGCTCAGAAGTTCAGTCTGCATAAGTAATTAACAGATGTTTTAATTAGTGTTACGTAATCTTGATCAAAACTGTAGCTCACGGCACTAACAGAGTTCCAGCATATTGGCTTTCCCTGCTACACAGCTGTTTCTATCGAAAAATATATGTTCTTATGTTTTCCACACAATTCTACGATTTTGCTCATTGAATATTGCACCAAAAATTACTTAGTGCTGTATTTAGATTTTAAATATATTCATTTGAAAATTAATGCTTTAACATTTGGAAAGGGTGTCAAATGGACACCATTATTTAAATGGATAGTTTTCATTTTTAGATTATTCCAAAAGCAATTAATACAAGGTATGAGGTAAACTTTTGTTCTTTCTTGTTTTTCCTCTTTTTTTAACAACTTTTTTTAAGAAATCATTATTTTTTAGACAGTCTTAATTGATATATATTCTTATCTTACAATAGAATTTATTTCATCTTTTTTATTTTTTCTGCCATTCATTTTAGATATTTTCATGTATGTGAATTTATTTTACTCCCACCTTTTATATACTATATTGATAATGATATTTGTTTCATTTTTGTTAAAGATAATCTAATACAGTATGCTGTATATTTTTAAGATACACATTTTTCTTTTCTGAATATATTTGCATTTTTTAACGTTTGATTATCTTTAAAAAAGAGATGTACATATTAAATCTTAGCATCATTTTTGAATGTCATGTTGGAAAATAAAAATACACAAGAAAATGTTATTTTTTTGCCTGTATGCCTTTTGTCAACTTAAGCTCTGATACATTGTTTTCATCTTAAGGGAAAAAAAATATATATATATTAATATATCACCATTATTATTTTTTTTTTTTGCGCTCATTGTAAATAATCATAATACGTGCTTACTGTTACCAGATGATATATATAAAGCTTGCATAGTAATTATGTTGATTAAAAAAAAATTGTAACATGAATTGGTGAAGTTATAAAGTAATAAATATTGAGTAATGTTATATAGTGTTGTATTTTCAATTTTGCCCTTATGTCTTATTTAAGATACTTTTCTCGGTTCAGCTTTCTAGAGAGTAAGCATTGCTACCATCATATTTTTGAAACATGGTTGTTCTTGACCGGTATGGTCGTTTTTCACCCCGGCAATATTTGAACATGATCCCCAAGTTGTGAGGCAGACATCTTAACCACTAGCAACTGCTCCCCTTTTACCTTCAACCTATTTTGTAATCAACTGACGGCTATTCATTTGTACTTATCCATCGCCCATGGATATATTTTATAGATTTCATTGAAAAATATGAAAATTGAGGGACCATTAATATTAAGAATTTGGTATTAGACTCCCATAAAGTTCAGAGGCTGGCTGCCATCTATACAGGTGATAATTTTGAAAGAACTTTCCCACCTTCCATTTTTTGGACTGTCCATTGTCAATTATGGGGATGTCGAGATAAAAATTTAAAAATTAACCAACAATTATAGAGCCTGATGCGACTTCTACTCTATACTGGTGGCAACGACCAGTCACATTTATTTCCAGCTAGGTAACTGTTAAATAGAAGACAACAAACTGAAAACTGTTGATGATTCTACAGCTTGCCATAATCTACTGATTCAAGATACTCCTGTGAAGTACTTACTAAGTAGATTCTATTTCAGAAAAAATCACTGTTTGGTGTTGGATGCGATACGCCCTCATGATACAATTCCTCCCATCCGAACTCCAAACAGTAATTTTACCGATAAAATAATTGATTTGGATGTATTATTTCAATTCTATCATGACATCAACAAATAAATGCTGCCGTACCTAATATCAAGCTAAATTGCGTCTGATTTATTTCCGTACTTTTTTTCAGTGCGTCACATTTTTAATGGTTACATCACATGTCTAAATATAGATCATCAATAGTGATTTTATTGCATTATAACACACCCTTTCGGTCCTTCTATGATCTATAGGAAAAAATGAGCTTCGTTTTAGAAAAACCCTTACCACACTAAATGAGCCGCGTCATGACAAAACCAACATAATGTGTTTGCGACCAGCATGAATCCAGACAAGCCTGTGCATCTGCGCAGTCTGATCAGGATCCATGATGTTTGCTATCAGTTTCTCTACTTGTAAAAGGGTTGGTAAGTGAACAGCATGGATCCTGATCAGACTGCACGGATGCGCAGGCTGGTCTGGATCCATGCTGGTCGCAAACCCATTATGTTGGTTTTGTCATGGCGCTGCTCAAATATCTTCAATAGATATGTCAGTTTCTCAATCTGTACATCAACATTCACTATTTTTAGAGGGAATTTCAAAATACAGACTGACTGAACAATGAATAGTACAGACCATGATCAGATAGAAAGGATGATCTTCGTCTACACAACTTGTATGGGCAGAATCATGCCATGAGTTCATAAACAAGCACAGAATGTCAAATTCTAAACACAAAATGCTGAGTCCTAAGCACAGGATGCCTAGTCGTAAACACAGAATGCCTAGTACTTAACACAGGATGCTAAGTCCTAAACACAGGATGCTAAGTTCTAAACACAAAATGCTGAGTCCTAAGCACAGAATGCTGAGTCCTAAGCATAGGATGCCGAGTCCTAAATACAAAATGCTGAGTCCTAAACACAGGATGCTAAGTCCTAAACACAGAATGCTGAGTCCTAAATACAAAATGCTGAGTCCTAAATACAAAATGCAGAGTCCTAAATACAAAATGCAGAGTCCTAAACACAGGATGCAGAGTCCTAAACACAGGATTGCTAAGTCCTAAGCACAGAATGAAGAGTCCTAAGCATAGGATGCTGAGTCCTAAATACAAAATGCTGAGTCCTAAACACAGGATGCAAAGTCCTAAACACAGGATGCTAAGTCCTAAGCACAGAATGAAGAGTCCTAAGCACAGAATGCAAAATCTTAATGTACCCACTTTAGTTTTAAAATAATGGGCAGAGGGGCATCTGGGATCTTACACAATAAGTAAAAGCTGGAACGTAGCAAGATATGACAGGTACGAGCATTTGTATGGCAACTTAATTTTAAATCTTACTGCCAGGGGATAATCAAGTACAGTGAGGTCCCAGCAAGTAAGCTACAGTCATTTTATCTCCAGAAGAATAGATTGTAATTGTTCCATATTTACAAAAAAAATAAAAAAATGATTATATCATTTTATTGCATTTTAAATTTAAAGAACATCTTAAATCAATCAAAACATAATGCTTCACATAGAGACACTGTTTCTTCGAAGATGTGCATTATAAAATTAAAATTTCCTTACATAAATAAGCGGATACAAAGGCGTCTTTGTAAAATTATTGCACATTAAATAAAGCACTCGGTGATAGAGATTTCATCATTATTCAGTAGGGATTTTTTTTTTACACGATGTTTAAATCAAGGGCCATGAAAAACGGGAATATAACAAGAGGTGAAGGATTTTGCACGAAGGTAGGTATTGCTGTCAATTAATGATTGGACTGGTATTCACTTCCTCTAAGTGCAGATAGTAAAACTGTCAACAAATCTATATCTAGTCTGTTAATATAACAAATCGAGCGTGATTTAACACTACAGATATTCATCCATTTCATTGTCAAAAGTCAGGGTATGAATCTAATGTCAAAAATACATGTATTGATTTTTTAACTTGATTGTTAAAAACAAGTTCTTGCATTTTATATAAATCATTTTCGTATCCACTTGCAGTAATGATGTCATGTGATTTGTTTTTGTTTTTGTTGGGTTTTAAGTCACATCAACACTATAAAGGTCATAAGGCAATTCTCGGCATCAGAGTAGGACCACCAACCTTCAGTAAGCTAGCTGGATATCTTCACATGAAAGCATCCATGGTCCCTGTAGGTATTTCAACCCACAACTGTGACTGATTCAGAGTGCAACCCTAATCATTTGGCAATGGAGGACCCTGGTATCATGTGAGAAAACATGGTCGCGACCAAAGTTAAGACTCACGCTCACAATCCCTTAGTATAACGGCAGACACCATAGTCTGCTCAGCTTAATATTTAGTGCCTAATTTTTGACACGGGTATTACTATACTATAAGATCATTTAAATTTTTATATTTAACACTGTTCTTAATGTAAAGGCCAACTAAAAAACTTACGCAAAATTAAAACAAGAGGGCCATGATGGCCCTGAAGTTGCTCACCTGTACATAGGCCCCCGGAGCAAGGCCAGTTTAAAGCCCGGGCTTTTATTTGAACAAACTTTGTAGACAACCATTAGAAGATGTTTCATGCTACACATCTAAGGTCTAGCTCGTTGGGATTTTTAAAAGAAGATTTTTTAAAGTTTTTTCTTTACACATATAGTTAAAAACAATGACACACCTGGGGCAAGACAGTTTTGACCCCAGGGCTTTTATTTGAACAATCTTTGTAGACACTTACTAGAAAATGTTTCATGCTTAATATCTAAACTCTAGCTATTCAGGTTTTTTAAAAGAAGATTTTTAAGTTTTTGCTAAAAAATCAATGTCCCCCGGGGCGGGGCCAATTTTAACTCCAGGGCTTCTATTTGAACAAACTTTGAAGACACTCACTAAAAGATGCTTCATGCTTAATATCTAAACTCTTGCTATTTGAGTTTTTTCAAAGAAGACTTTTCAATTTTTGCTATAGTTTTACACATATAGGGAAAATGAATGACCTCCGGGGCGGGGCCAATTTTGACCCCAGGGCTTTTATTTGAACAAACTTGGTAGACATCCATTAGAAGATGTTTCATGCTAAATATCTTAGCTCTAGCTCTTTTGGTTCTTTAAAAGAAGATTTTTTAAGTTTTACTATATGCATATAGGGAAAATCAATCCCCTGGGGCAGGGCCAATTTTGACCCCAGGGCTTTTATTTGAACAAACTCGGTAGACACCCATTAGAAGATGTTTCATGCTAAATATCTTAGCTCTAGCTCTTTGGGTTCTTTAAAAGAAGATTTTTTAAGTTTTTACTATATGTATAAATGGAAAATCAATGACCCCCTGGGGTGGGGCCAACTTTGACCTCAGGGCTTTTATTTGAACAATCTTGGTAGACATCCATTAGAAGATGTTTCATGCTAAATATCTTAGCTCTAGCTCTTTTGGTTCTTTAAAAGAAGATTTTTTAAAGTTTTTACTATATGTATATAGGGAAAATCAATGACCCCCTGGGGCGGGGCCAATTTTGACCCCAGGGCTTTTATTTGAACAAACTTGGTAGACATCCATTAGAAGATGTTTCATGCTAAATATCTTAGCTCTAGCTCTTTTGGTTCTTTAAAAGAAGATTTTTTAAGTTTTTACTATATGTATATAGGGAAAATCAATGACCCCCTGGGGCGGGGCCAATTTTGACCCCAGGGCTTTTATTTGAACAAACTTGGTAGACATCCATTAGAAGATGTTTCATGCTAAATATCTTAGCTCTAGCTCTTTTGGTTCTTTAAAAGAAGATTTTTTAAGTTTTTACTATATGCATATAGGGAAAATCAATGACCCCCTGGGGCGGGGCCAATTTTGACCCCAGGGATTTTATTTGAACAAACTTGGTAGACACCCATTAGAAGATGTTACATGCTAAATATCTAAGCTCTAGCTCTTTGGTTTCTTTAAAAGAAGATTTTTTAAGTTTTTACTATATGCATATAGGGTGAATCAATGAACCCCTGGGGCGGGGCCAAGTTTGACCCAAGGGCTTTTATTTCAACAAACTTGGTAGACACTCACCAGAAGATGTTTCATGCCAAAAATCTAAGCTCTAGCTCTTTGGGTTTTTTAGAAGAAGATATTTTAAGTTTTTTTCTTTTGGTTGCCATGGCAACCAGAGTTCTGCATGGAATTAAATTCTTTGAACAATTTTCAAAGGTGACCACCAAAGGAACATTCCTGTGAAGTTTGGATGAAATTGGCTTAGTGGTTTATGAGGAGATGTCATTTAAAGTAAAAGTTTACAGACGACGGATGGACGCCAGACGCCGGACAAAAAGCGATCCCAAAAGCTCACCATGTCACTTTGTGACAGGTGAGCTAAAAAATTGCAAAATAGTTTTTTTTAGGTGAATCTTCATACATGAAGTCATTACTACAGGGGTACAACTTAAAAGAGATCTACTGCAGTCCAAAAACTTAAAACGTTAAACTTGAAATCTTACAAAGATCTATTTTGGAGCTAATAACAGAAAATATGCAACAGAAAATATTAAAATCAATTATTGGAATTAAAATGAAAAACAATTTTTAGGTTGATAGTTAGCCAAATATGAATTAAAAGGTATTAAACATCTTTTTTTTTTTCAGTTATTTTACACAATAAAAATGCTTTTTCTGGAAGAATGGATTGAGCAAATGATCGCAAACTTGCTCGACATTTATCAAATGGTACACATATCGCGAAAAATTATTTCCAGTCCAATAATACCAAAAAAATCTCAGTGAAGTCCCTTTAATGTGGATCAAACTTTCTGTGATGTGAAAAGACTAACCAACAACAGTTAAATGAGCCGCATCATGACAAAACCAACATAATGGCTTTGCGACCAGCATGGATCCAGACCAGCCTGCGCATCCACGCAGTCTGATCAGGATCCATGCTGTTCGCTATCAGTTTCTCTACTTGTAATAGAGTTGGTAAGCGAACAGCATGGATCCTGATCAGACTGCGCGGATGCGCAGGCTGGTCTGGATCCATGCTGGTCGCAAACCCATTATGTTGGTTTTGTCATAACACGGCTCAAATTTCATCACAACTATACATCAGGTACACAATCCACAAGGAATATCATTACCTCAAAACAGAGACTTATACATGTATTAAATAAATATAGCTCTGTGTTTTAAAAAAAAAAATGTCACGAAATGTTAATCTAAATAGAGCTAAACTATTCACAGATAAAATATTTATCGGTACTACCGTACTTGTTATATAACAAAAGAAGCACAGGTTCAAAAGATTATTTTGGCACATTCAATCACACATCCTATTACAGTTCAAAACCATAAAATCAAAATATGAATTTATTCCTATCAATTGTACTTGGAAAAAAAACTTGTTGCCTCTCTTCAATTTCGCCTCTGTTTCATTTTAAATATTCAGACTTTGATTTGTGAAAATGATATGTACAAGTTTTATGTGATTTAACAGACATTTAAACGATCAATAAAGTTGTTAATTCTGCAAATTAACATACAAATGAGTTGGAAAATATGCCACATAAGTAGAATAGGATGCTATGTTACATAAGTTGTGAATAATGCATCAAAATATATCATTGTTATCAAAGGCATATGCTTTTTTTAAGGTTATATAATCAATGATAATTTAAGGTTATATAATTTATAAGAATTTTCAAGTTACATAATTCATAAGGATCTTTAGTTCATTATAATTATTATAACAATTTAAATCAAATAATTTATAAAGATTATAGGCTCTATCATTCATAAGAATTTATAGGTTATATAACTTAACAATATTTTTAGGTTATGTAATTTTACTGAGGAATCAGGGTATGAGGATCACATGGAAACTTTAAAGATTAACAATAAATTATCATCACATAATTAATCTATTAATTATTTAGGTGCCTGGTTATTCGTATAATAATATTCACTGCTTCATCCTTCAGGACTTCCTCCTCTTATAAAGCTACAAGAGAGCCATGATGGCCTTAGATAGCTCACTTGACATCCATTCCTTAGAATGGTGTTAACCAAAACTGGAAGAAGTGCTTACACTGACAAATATTTGTTTGAAAAAATAAAATTTAATGCCGTACATATATCAACATAATCATTAAATTTTCATAAATATAGCAAATATCTTCCCAATTACATTTATCTTTTTTTAAAAATAACATTCTGCTTCATTAACATAATTTCTACATTAAATGTACATCTAGAGATACTTAAAGCAGTATGCCTTCAAATTCATGCTTATTTTCATGAAAATTTTGAAAATATATTGAAAAGTAAAATACTGTGAAGCGAATGAAGAAAGTAATTTTCACATTGCAAATCAGCATTTACAATCCACATATATTACCAAATAAAGGCCAAAATAGCCCTTGCAGTAGAAATATAATAGTGATAAATACTACAAAATCAGTCATTAATCACACACAACATGTAAATTATTACTTGAATTGTTTTACTTTTCTTAAAATCTTAGTACATGTACATTTTTCTCAAGTTTTATTTTTTCGAAATAGTTTGGCTCATCTTCAGGCATGCAGCTTTAAAGCTATCATTAAAGATTATCAATTATGGACTTAATACAAAATTATGGTATAAAAACTTACATTTGGAATTTTCACCTCTTACCCATAAACTGCAGAATTTATGTGAATGATTTATACAATTTTAAATTTGAATCAGTCCATTTAAAGTACATTAATATCAAAACTACAAAAGTTTTGCTACCAACAGTTATGAAGCCTGGTAACGCTGTACAGACATACCAAAGGGATTAATCACCTTATATTCTAGCAGCTTTACATTTAATTTAAATGACAACTTTACAAACTATTATCATTTGTATTCTTTTTCAAAGTTATATAGTTTTTACAATGTTGCCAATAAATTTAAATATAAGAAATTTTACCAACTTACAAAACATTAAAAATTTTTTTATCTAAAATGGTGATATCTGGTTGGGAATCAAACACTTCCAGATGTGATGACAATTTTAAATCACAAATATTGCTGATGAAGTTAATGTCATGTTATAAACTGTTAATTTTCATTTCTTCTTACAATTGCAAATGTTCATTTAGCAGTAAATACATGTACAGTTAAATTTTATGAACAATTTAAGTCCTTTCAAATAAAGAAGAATGTGAAAGACCCAGGGTCACTGAGTGGACTGTTGAAATTTCATACTGATAAAGCTTCAACTTCTTCAATAATGCAGCAGATAAAATGAGAAGATTATATAATATAGCAGAGGACAATAACTCTTATTAAAAAATTATTGTGAATTTAAGTCATGATTCATGCTCTTATCCCCCATGAAGACTTCACATAAACGTGGTACCTCCTATATGTTATACTACAAACAAAATTATATGCCACAGACTGACAGGAAAATTGACATATTTAATAATTTAAAGAGCAATTTCTATATACCTACTTTAACTGTGTTTGTCAGGGGCATAGTAACTATGTATAATTTTTTAACTGCAAAATTCTTTGGTTGAAGCATTCCACTATGGCACAGTCTTACAATATTATAATGGCATTTTAAAATAAGACTCAAAGTGTTTTTGATAATACATTAAATTTCATCAATATATGAAATACAGTTAGAAGATGGTATGCCTTTTTCAAATAGATTACAATATCATTCATTTTTTACTTTTTCCAACTCTTATAAACACAGTTCTCTAGGAGGTGGTTTTGTAGGAATAAATCCAAGAGAAAACATTGGTGCTTTAAAATGTTCTAATTCTTCGGCTGTCAATTTGTCTAATGGAGTATAAACAGAAGTTGTCTCCCCTGATGCCTGAGCTTGCTGGACTGGTTGATTTTCTGCGGCTGACGCACTGCCAAATCCTGATTCAGGGGGAACAACTGTCACTGTGTTTCCAAACAAATTTTTAGCAGGTGCACTTGATTGTGTAAAGGGTGTAGATGCTTGGAATAAAGATCCTGAGGCACCTGTGGGTTGTGGGGTACTAAAACTTGCTGCACCAAAAGATGAATTGTCTGCTGGTTTACCGAATAAACCCGCTGTCGGAGTTTGATTTTGGCCAAAAGTACTAGCTGCAGCCTGACCAAATCCACTTTGTCCAAATGCACTTCCTGATTGTGTACTTTGCCCAAAAGCACCTTGTCCAAATAATGAGCCAGTCTGTCCTAACCCTGGCTGTTGTGTACCAGTCTCACCAAATGTAGACTGGGAACTGCTCTGTCCAAATAAAGATTGAGAACCAGTTTGACCAAAACCAGACTGTGCACCAGTTTGGCCAAAAACTGACTGTGCACCAGATTGGCCAAAGACAGATTGGTTCCCTGGGTCAGGAAATGCTGGTGGCTGACCAAACAGCCCAGAACTTGGCTGGGTACCAGTTGTACTTGAACCAAACAGTCCTCCGCTGTTGCTACTTCCAAATAGATCTCCCGAGTTTGAATCTGAAAAACATATGTTGAAGTCATAATCTTAAGTAATAAGGAAACGAACATAAATTGTAAGAAAAGACAACATGACAACATGCTTGTCTAATTTAAAACTGGATGGATAGGAAAATCAAACAGTAATTGACTATTTGTTTTAGGTGCTTTGGTGATATTTTTAGAAAATCAAAAACTTTAAACCATATAAGCTCTGTATCTGTTGTTTTTACAAAATCATTGTTTGAGTTTTGAAAAAGAATACTTCTGAAATATCTTATGAATGAAGTTTGTGAGTTCATAGTTACGCTAGATCTACAATAAGAAAAAACGTGTGTAATGAAAATATCAGTTTTTGGTAATTTCTGTTCCGAAGATTAACGACATTTAATATGCAAGAAAAAGAATCAAACACTGGCTGTCAGTACAGACGGGAATATCTCGCTCTGGGAGTAACTGTTTAGCAGAAACTTGGCAGAGCCTCGTTTCGGCCGTAAACAATAACCCTCGAACTAGATATTCCGGTCTGTACCTGCAGCCAGTGTAAGATTCTTATATTGTATGTTTGTCAAGTGGCGCCTGTGCACGATTATCAATCATCGAAGACTAAAATTCTACATAATATCTTTTGTTTCCGAACAGTTTATTCTGTAAACGTACAATATTCATGAGTGTAAACATATTCTATAAAATCTTTTAAGAATCAACTACAAGATTATGTAAACAACATAATTGTTTTGTTTTTTTATCAAAATATTACATAAGATTTGAGTTAATGCTGGAAACCTGTATAGGCAATTCAATACAGAAGACTGTCAATAATTTTGTTGTATTTTTTTAGACTTTAGGTGCAACTGAACTTTAGGTGAAATTACTCCATCCCAAGAGAAACAACAGTTACCGGTTCTTAAAACTGCAATGGTAAAGCACCATAGCACCGGATCTTGGTTGTTAAAATATCGTCCAAAACACTTGTTAGTGATCTTAGCTAATGCTTGGGATCGGACTTACAACCTCTGGATTTGTAGTCAGACATTGTTACTAATCGACTTCTAAGCGCTAAATTTTAAGAATACACTATGTAACTATTTCATGTATTTATAGAAAAAACTATTTATAGAAAAGAAAGGTCACATACCACTAAATAACGATACTGCTCCACCCGACCTGAAAGCATACATTATTATTAATATGTATCATGTATAGACAACAAGAAATTATTACAAACCAGAAGATGTAACTTAATTAAACATGACATTGTGTCCAATTACATGTATATACACATGTAAAAGTATTTTGTTCAAGAGTATCAGTAATGTACATTGTGCTCAGTTAAATTTGTTTGATTTGATTTTATGCCCCAAAGTATAAGTCATATGGTTCTGTCTGGCGGAAGGAGACCTCAGGTATCCTTCCATGCATTATTTCAGGCACAGACGAGAACTTGAGTAGAACCAAGGACGTTCTGTAAGCTAGCTAAATAGCTTCCTCACATGAAAGAATTCAAAATCCCTTTCGGAATTCAAACCCACTACGGTGAGACAGAAAGTGGTTTGAAAACAAGACATCCCTTGCTCAGTTAAACAAGCCTGTAAGCATGTTTTTATAAAACAATGCTTGGAGTTTAAAAGAAAAATGTTGTGTTTCACATGAGGAAGGAATACCCACCTCATCTCTATGACACATGATACTATGTATTGCAATTTTATCAGTATTTATAAAATAAAAAAAAATTATGTTTGAAAAAAAAAGTCATTTGAAAAGTATAGAATAAATAGTTCAAACACAAAATGTTTGAATTTAGACCTTTAAGGGTGATCTTTACCTGAGCCTCAACCTTGTCCTCATAATCTTTTGCACATTGCCTTGTTGAGGTGAACATTTGAGTGTAGTTTGAAGAAAAATGCTACAAGGGGCATAGGATATAGCAGATACCTACATTGTATAATATTTGAACTTTAACCTTGTAATATCACCTTGATCTTAAGCCAGCACAGCTGTGGCATGGGTTCTAGAACGCACATTGCCTTACTGAGGTTAAAAATTGAGCAAAGTTTGAAGAAAATCCTTCAGGGGTAAAAGATCCATATAAGTTGTCTCCTATTTGACCCGTGACCATCAAGGATTATCTTTAACCTCGAGTTAGCACAGCTTAGGCCAGGCCTTGGCACATCACCTAATTAAGGTGAACGTTTGAGCCAAGTTTGAGGAAAATACTCCTATTGGTATGGGATTTAAAGACCTGACACAAAATTTTCTGATATATCAGACATGAAACAATGTATTCAAAATATTAATATATTCAATTACTCATTTTCTATCCACCTCCGTTAGGAAGATTTACAATAATCAACAAAGAGTTCAAATAATGATGTATCATGATGAACAATCCCTTTTAAATCATGACGATTTTTGTATTTTTATGTACTTCAACATGGTATCAGGGTTCAACAAAACACGGCGATAACTTAATTGTTATTTGAACTAAACCCACGTTGAATTGATCAATAAAAGAAGAGTGGCATACCCTGAATTTTTCTTCCTCCGACAGTCATCTATAAATGAAATCTGCAATCAATCAATAACAAGTTGTTAAAGTTATTTAAAGATAAGTTGGTCATGTGACTTTAATTCATCACTGCTTGTTTGACGCAAGCAAGTCATTTTAAGAACACAAAGTTTGCAACCCTTGCGCACTAATGGTGATAATTATAAGTTAATGCCGCCATCATAGAACGAGGCCAACCTTCATCACACATCAATGTCACCAGCATAGAACAAGGCCAGCCTTCATCATACATCAATACCACAAGCACAGAACGAGGCCAGCCCTCAACATATCGGGAGCCATCTGACTCGCAGGCTCCATACTGTTGACTGTTAAATTTTACAAAAGTACAACAGCTACAATTGAAAAATTGAGTCTGATACAAATCTTTACTCATATAAAAATTGAATCTGATTCAAAACTCATGTAAGTTCTTTATTTCTATATCAAATATGACCTAATAATGGAGGCTGAGGGAAAAGTTGAATTTATTATAAGTATATAATGATGAATTTTTGATAAATGGGCAGTTTTAGCCAAAAAAAGAGTACAATATATTTCCCGTAAAGTTTTTCTGTACCAACATTTGGGAAAAATATAGTTTTCCTATTTTTAAACCAAAAATGACATCCATTTAGTCACAGTGATTGGGCACATTGTATTCTTTAACATTTTTAGTTGGTTGGGTTTTACATCATACCAACACATGTCATATGGCGACTTACCAACCTCAGGTGCCCTTCCCTGCATCATTTCAGGCACAAACAGGCACCTGAGTAGAACCAATGGCATTAAGAACTAAGCTGGCAAGCTTCCTCACATGAAAGAATCCTAAGTCCCTGTTGGGAATCAAACCTACAGAGGTGAGGGACAAGTGGTTTGAAGCCACCGTGCCACAGACCTGATGATATTAAAAAAATAATAATCCTGACAAATTTGGTTAACATAGTTATAAAATGTTAACCAGGGCAGTAAGATGTGTATTTTAGTAAACATTTGTCAACCTATGGTCATAACAAAGACAAAAGTATTTCAAGCAAAGAAAGCATTATACATGTACTAACAGTAAAGAAAATCTTACCAATTTCTGTTTCAACGATAAATTTGGATTTTTTAACTCTTGTCTCTGTGTATTCAGTTGATTAAATGCTCCCTCCAGTTTCTGTACCTGTTTCAAATAAATGAGAGAAAATTACATGGATACATTAAAGGACAGTTCTTTGGCTCAAACCCTCCTGGGGCCAAGCTATTACACTCATTGTTTAGTATTGGTTGGTTCCAGAAACTGATTCAAGTTACATGGATACATCAAAGGACAGTTCTTTGGCTCAAACCCTCCTGGGGGCAAGCTGTTACACTCATCGCTTAGAATTGGCTGGTTCTAGGAACTAATTTAAATTATTTAATCAGGATTTTAAGTGTACTGTAACGTAAAGGCAGGATGAATAAGGGATATTTGTGTAAAAAAAATGAGTATCAATAGTTATTTCCTCACCAAATATTTATTTATAATGAAACAAAACTGGCTAAACATTGTCAAAGTGTGCTGTTCTGACAACCTGATTTTAGCTCTAGCTCTAGCTATCTAAGTATCTATGTATAGGATATCGACCGAGTACGAGGTCTTTCCTAAACAGAAAGATCGATGTACAAGGCCGATATCCAACTTACACACTGTCAAACTATATTGTCCTAAGGAATGGCTGATCCGAAGCGTTTGATGTAATGCACAAATATTATTTTTAACATAACGCATATACAGGTAAGTTTTTTTCAACGTTCTGCTTAAATACAATATATATTTTGTATTTAACTTTGCTTTTCCCTTTAAGATAATAATAAAAAAGCTAAATGTGCAATTTGTCAATAATAAAGTGAATAGGTCTGTAATGGAAGATATGTTAAAGAATGATTTATTATGTTGATAGTATTTCGTATCAGACAATGCAGATCCTAGGACATTTGCCCTCGGACAGTTGCCCCCTCGGACGTTTGCCCACCCCCCCTCTTTTATTTCGCTGTTGCGACTTTTAACTTGTCAGAGGTCATCTCGTGTATAGATTTTTTGTATGCCAATGGAAACATTATAGTTCATTTATTTATGGATGCTATTTTGACTGTCAAAAATTTGCGCGATATTTTTGTGTATTTAAGCACAATGAAATTTCGACAATAGGCGATGAATTTGGGTAGCAAACAATTCAACAATAAAATATTTTAACATTTTTTAAAACAGGGAGGGGGCACATGTCCGTCCTTCCAAATATATGAGGGGGCAAATGACCGCTATTGCAAAAAGGGAGCAAACTTCCGAGGGGGCATCTGTCCGAAGGGTAATGTCCTGATACCCAGAAGACTACGAAAAACTTACATATGTATATTGATGGCAAGTGTGAGATACATGAATCAAAACTATATTTTATATAGCAGATTATAAAGTGTTCTAGAATAAAATTTGATCGGTCATCATAAATTTTTTTTATACTAAGTCACTAATAACTTTATTAACATTTTAAAATCGTAAGTATGCTGTGATTACTGCTTCATAGTTTCATAGATATAAACTTGAAGCGTCCATTTTGTTACATTGTAAACTTAATGACAGAAGAACCACTTAGATTACTATTACTTTAAAAAATGACGCGATTAAATAAATGTTAAATGTGTTCTAACTTTGATATGCTATCATTACTTTTATTCAAAGATTTAATATAGGGATGCTGGAATAATTACTTAGTGCATTCAATAAACATTATCTTGTTTAAAAAATGTATCCTGATTTTGTAAGACAGGAACATTATGACAATCATTTACATTTATTTTCTTTTTTAATTTTTAATTGCATTTCATTTTTTGTCTGCGCATTGACAGGTCTATTTTCCACGTGTATTTCATGACCGGGTCTGTCTGACTAGAACAGACCTGTGCACATGCAAAAGATAGACCTCATAACGGACTTTCTTTTGTTTAAACAGGTCTATCTGAAAAATATAGGCCTGTCACAAACAATAGAGGAGGTGTGTAAAAATAGAAAGCAGCTTGACCACCCTTAGTATCTTATATCAACTTGACCATATTTTAATCAAGGCAAGACTATTCATTGTTTTAAAGGGGAAATTTCAATTATGTACTGACTGAATAACGAACTCAGATGGCATAGATATGCTTGGTGATATTGGTCTGCACTAGCTGCATTGGTAGAAACAGACGCCAGCAGACCAAGGGTTAATCATGTAACATAATATAGGATAACTCATTAACGAGTAGGGAAAACAGGGACAGTAGCTCGGTAGAAAACACGCTTATTATCAAACTTGATAAGAAAGATATTTTTTTACCAAAGAAAGTACTATAACTAAGACTTAAAAGTATGCAATATTCTCCAATTTTATATGTAAACTTACATATGGTTGAATATTTCCTGATTTCAAGGCTTCATAAGCTTCAAGTCTCATTTCCTCCGGTGAAATATCCATAAAACCTGGTGAAAATAATAATATAATTATAATAAAAATATAGTACCGTATATTTTCAAATAAATGCACCTGGGGCATTACATTTTTTCAAAAAGGGGTGCATAATTAATTTACAAACAAATATTGTCAAAACTAAAAACAAAATGTTATTGTGTTATTATCCACTGGAACATAAATAGTGGAATAACTAGGGGTGTGGATCGTCGGATAAGTGACGATCCGATCCGAACCACGATTCAGCACTTACGATTCACAAATCGAACCACAGATCTATTGTTATCAAGACACCCATAAAAACATGTACATTAGTTATAAAAACATGTTTATTTAAAAAAACAACAAAAAACAATACTAAACATTAAACATATAAAATATAAACTATGACTGTTTATGTTTTGATTTTTTTTGGATAAGTATTTTTGTTTTGTCTTTTGAAACCAATTACTTCCCTAAGCTCAGCATCATGGTACATGGTCTTTAACCGGCAAATTATATTAAGGTAAACTTCATATAATTTATACTCAAATCGTATTTTTCTCGATTTTTAGAATGTGAGAAACAGTGAATGTATATAAAAAAATTAGATCGCAATTCAACGATCTCTGTGATTACGAATATTCAAAATCAATTTTTTACTTTGATTCGTGATTATTCGAGTACTCGGATACTCGCCCCAGCCCTAGGAATAACAGTGTATAATTTTGTGCTACATGTAATTTAAAATTGATATCATCTTTGTTATTCTGTTTCCTTTGTCAACAAGTTTGGGAGAGGCATTTATTAATGAATATATGTTATGCATGTACTGACATCTTAACTGATGACAAAGCTATATTCTAATTCATATAACACATGTAAATGTACAATGTACATGTAATTATAATATAGAGTAATGAATTCAATAATCAAGTTAAAAACAATTAATAATAATTATTATACTGGATGATTAATTTAATAATTAAGCAACATTTTAATTTGTATAATCTATGACATAGTATAATTAATTGGGTTATTTAGCTTAATTAAACTCAACACAATTCAACTCAATTTTAATACCCAATCAGCATCTATTATTATACATGTATACATTCAGTGCACCACCGTTGACCCAAAAACTGTAATTCAACAATGATTAATGTCTACATTTGAGCCGCGTCATGACAAAAGCAACATAGTGCGTTTGCAAAAAAAAGCATCAAAATAATGCAAAAAATGTTCCTTTACTATCTGTTTTAGTCACTCAGTGGAATTTAAGTGATAAAAACTGCAAAATCATTCATTAATCGCACATAACAAAGTCATGTGTATTATTTTCTTGAATCTTGACTTTTTTTTTTACTTTTCTTTAAATCCAAGTAAATTGTTTCTCAACTTTGATTTTCTTGAAATATTTTTACTAATCTTGAGGCATGCAGCTTTGAATGATAAAGAAAGTTAATGAACCGCGTCACGACAAAACCAACATAGTGCGTTTGCCACCAGCATGGATCCAGACCAACCTGCGCATCCGCGCAGTCTGATCAGGATCCATGCTGTTCACTTACCAACTCTATTACAAGTAGAGAAACTGATTTGTTAAATTAGTGCTATAAAGCGCTAACTTCTTAAATATTTTAATAGGAGTAAATCCATTACCGCACTAAAGTGACATTATAGAGTTCATACAATATAGTTCATATGATTATGATTCATATATATATTATCATTTTGCATAAATTAGCAACAAATTAAGCAAAAAAAATATTCTATACAGGTCCATTTTAAATAGTTAATAATGAATTTACATAAAATCCTTAATTTAAATTAAAATATTCTGAAATAAAAACAACATAAAAGAACAGCAACATTATATTGTTTTGCAATGATAATAAGATTTATAAACTGTATGTCATAATGTTATATTCAAAAACTTTCTTCTTATATAAGAATATGTAAGTAGATAAAAAATGGTATTCAGTTTCAACATCTTCATTTTTACATACTTGACAAATAAGTTTTGGAATTAATAGGTTCAAAATAGCAAATCTATCAACCATAGAGATATTTTTTCCGAGTACATGATAATATTTGAATTTCAGGTGACCTTGATAAGTCCATGTATGCATATTGTTCCTCAAATCAAAAGCAGTCTCACGTCACATTGTACATTAGTTTAGGTCATAATGGGTTCAAAGAAACAAATCTGTCAATCACAAGAAAATAGTTTTGCTAAGTGTAGAAAAATATCTAATATTTTGGTGATTTTGATTATATCTAGCATGAAACGTGTCCCAACTGAAATCAGCTGTAAATGGCCGAAAGAAATATTGTTTATAGAACTACCATGTAACATGTACAAGAAATAATAGTCCAGATCTGAAATCTCTTGTGAACATTATGTTGGTTAACCTGTTAATTATGTTGAAACTTTATAGCTAATTAGTTTTAAAAAGTTGAATGCACTTTTTTTTCTACCCCTAAACAAAATATGTTTTCAATTCTAGGCCAATGTGGCATTCTTCATGGAAAATTTGAATGTTTTGGGGTACCGATTTTACTTTATAGAAATGTTGCAGGCTAATGGATGGTTTGTCTTTTTACTGGAACAAATTTGACAGGTTTTTTAACGTTAATTAAAGTTAAGGTTGATTTGACATGCTCGCGACATGTACTTCATTTATCATCGCCCCATCAAGGATATAAATATCTGTACAAATTAAGTACTAGTTTATCACTAATTGATCAGTTGATCCCAGACCATAGACATTCTTCCATAAAAATCTGCCATCCTCTTACATTACAAAAATAGATTTTATTTTATTCTAACCATTGAACTGAGAGTTACAATTAATATTTGTTGAGTTTAATTAATGCAATCATTTATCTTTTAAAGTTTGACCTCTGAAATTCACTTTAATAAAAATATCTTATGTAACTTTATTAACTTGATTGAATAATTTCAATCAAGGTCAAATGCTGACCCAGAAGAACTAACTTGTTACATAACTATTTTAGTTTCCATGTTTACAATAATTCAAACACATTTATGCACAACTTTTGAATACTCATTACAGTATTTGAGGCGCACCATGACAAAACCAACATAATGGGTTTGCGACCAGCATGGATCCAGACCAGCCTGCGCATCCGCACAGTCTGATCAGAATCCATGCTGTTCGCTATTTGTTTCTCTATTTGTAATAGGGTTTGCAAGCGAACAGCATCAAACCAGATCAGACTGCACATGTGCAGGCTGGTCTGGATCCATGCTGGTCGCAAACGCACTATGTTGGTTTTGTCATGGCGCGGCTCATTTAATATTCATTTGAGCAATTTAAAGTAGATAAATCAAACAGAATGAAGTGAAAGCAAATAAAAACATACATAAATTATCAACTTTATTACTAGAGTACGATATGACTTCAGCTTCAAGTATGTCAACTTTATCAGTCTTATGGCCTACATACATGTATTAATTCAATTTACATCCAATTAAATCCATTTTTGATGATGTACAAATTTAAAAAAAATAACATTGCACAGTGAATTCTCTCTGTTATCAGTTTCAAGTTTCATTGGCTTTAAGGTTTGACATATTGACTTAGCATACATGTAGGTTATTTTGATTTTACCTGCACAACATGTATGCTAAGTTAATCTGTCAAACCTTAAAGCCAATGAAACTGATAATATTACCTACCTGGTAAACTAGGCAAATCCTTCTCAAAACCTAGACAAGAAAATGGCCACATATTCCCGCCTTCCCATGTCTGAGCAACTTCCACTGCCAGTCCTTTCCTAAAATATTTTAAAACAGCATTTATGATAAAAAAAATTCACAATGATCTAAAATTCTGATAAAAATATCAACTGTTGATAAATCTTAAGACTGCAATGCTTCTAAACCTAAGAAATAGAAATAGAAACATCAGGCAATGCACAGTAATTCTTCTTTTTAATTTATATTTCTGCTTTTACATTTCAGTAACAATACAACATTCAGTAGCAATACAACAAACTCTTTACCCCTAAATATCTTAAATGGACTTGTCCATCTTTCAATCTGGACTAGACCATTTATCGTTTTTAGGGAAAAATTCTAAATATGTTCTGACTGAATAGCAAACAGTGCAGACCATGATGTGTTGGTTGATCTTGATCTGCACTGGTCCCATACATAACAAAATATCTATTATGATAACATTTTGACTGTACAAAATCAATCATGTTAAATTAGCAACAAGTTAATTGCAAAGAAAATCAAAACAAGACTTAAAATGTTTTAAATCCATAAAAGTTATTTGTCAGAAACCAATAGTCATCATCATTAAATAAACCTTAAAACTTATCCTGTGTTGATTGTTTGTTCCACTTTTATTGATTTTCTTAGAAACCAATAATTTCAAACAAAATTTGTTTAACCCTATACCGCATAAGCATACATGTATTGTGAAAAATGGTCGTTTTCATTAAAAAGCCTCCCGTTACAAGTTCAAACAGCTATGAAACTTTGAAAAATGCTTCAATACTGATGAAACTTGGCACAAATGTTGACTGGACCATAGCTTCTGTAACAGCATGCTCAATCTTAAATTTCCTGTTACCACGGCAATGGGGAAACGTCTCAAAATTGCCAAAAATCACTATTTTGCATTGTAAATTTTTTTTTTCCATCAAAACTGATTTAAAGGTGCTGCAACTTCTTAATGGATTGTGATAGAGTCAACGGCAATTTCAGCGTTGGTTACACGTTACCTTATGATCAACCTGAGGCCATTCTTAGCCTGTCACATGTCCAAAATTTTCTTGACAATAATGGTAAAGGGTTAAAAAGAGACAATACTCCGTTAAAAAGGGACCATACTCTATCAATAATGAGTTTACTGCAGCAAGAGTATAACTTAACCTGTGTTGTGATATAACATAACCAAAAATAAAAACACAATAATTGATATCTACTAAAAGTTATCATGTTAAAACCAATTATCAACAGACAGACAGATTGATAGACAGACAGACAATTCCATACTAAAATACGTCCAAGAGGGTCTTCGGGCATATAAAAATCATATTTTATTTCTGTGGCTTAATGGGCCTTTAAGACAACAAATATAAAACTTTACACAATATCAGCAGCTGACATCTGCTGTGTATTAGCTGCAGCATTTCTACCCTGTTGTTGTTGTTGTTGTTGTTGCTGTGCATCCTGGGAAAGCCAGCGATACGGATTCTGATTTTGAGATTGACCAAACGAATCTCTAAATGACACCTTCTGTCCTCCCCCTCCACCTCCCCCTCTTCTCCCGCCACCACCACCACCACCACCAAACAACTGTCTCTGAGCTGTCACACTATAACCTGAAATTATTAAAACAAATATTAACATACATATAAATCTATTAATTAATTTAAAAAAAGCAATTAAATGTAAAATATAAGCAATTGATACTGGCCAGATAAATTATTTATTTTAGTGAATAACTTTGTAGATGATAAAAAAACCCTTAAAGGCACATTATGCCTAAGAAATCCATATTCTTTTTAATTCTTAAAAAATGTAAAACATATGTTTTATAACGTTTGAATAATGGATAAGGAGCATGTTAGATGTTTAAGAACTGAAAAAAGTAGCACTGAACATGCAGTAATGTGTTGTTAAGATGGCAAAATGTAAACAAAGTAGTATTTTGATTTCTATACAAAATACTAATTCACTATAATTATACCAATTGCCAACAATGCTAAAGATGTAAAAGGTAGTTCATAGTTCATGTATGTAGCAAATTAGTATATTTTTTGGAAACTAACAAGATTACAAAAATAAACAGTTTTTGCGAATTAAAAGTGACAGCATTTCTAAGGCATAATGAGCCTTTAACAAAATGGTTAACAGATGCCAACAACAAAAGATGCTCTGAACATACTGTACCTTCTGACATTAAGCAAAATACTATTTTTTTCCAAGTTTCAATCAGTTTTAGTCACCTGCTTAATTTTAAATTTCTTTCTGTCTTTCTAAGCCATCAAACAATCAAATATGAGAAGTTTTCATAACCCCTTAGTATCCAGGTATTATGTGATAATTTCATTGTTTCTTTGGTTTTACGGCACACCAACACAATTTAAGTCATATGGCAGCGTAACAGGAAAGATGATTTTGGCTAATCTCCTGTGTTACAAAATTGAAGCAAGATAAAGTTAAAGAAAAACTGGAGAAAGACGACGCTGAAACTATATAATTATGCCACAATTAAAGCGATCATGTCCTCCTGACGTTTTCATTCAAGTAAGAGCTGCTCAGACAACATTCAATGAAGATCATATGCACTGATCGAGACATGGGAGGTGTTTAATTAATAATCAAAGCACACAAGTTTCAGAGAGATCATTATGACATGCCATCCACAACAACAACAACTCATTTGCATACAGGAAATTCAAAGTCAAAAATCTGCACAAAAAACACATTTACTTATTGTAACATATTTATTTTATATGATATAAATCATTTCTTTGTGACAAATTGAGATGATGATACATAAATTTCATGCCCTCTTTGCACTTATATTTATCTTAAAGGAACTCTACGGAGGTTCAAAAGTATTTGAATTTCTTACACTGATCTGTTGGGGTATTTAAAACAGAATGATCTGCAAAGATGATTAAGAAATATATACAGAAATATATTTAAAAAAATATTTTCATGATACGTCTTAGCTTAGTTTCATGCGAAAAGTGTTTCAATTTTGTGTCACTTTCACAATTTACAATCATGATTATCCTGTGAAAAAGAAGTGAGCGAATGATCTGAAATTTTGCACATGAGTTATCGGTCTAGAGATCTACATTAAATGGAACAAAAAAAATTATTTTCAGGCTCATCATGTCAAAAACCTCAGTGGAGTCCCTTTAAGTAAATAAATTTTCATTCTGCATTATTCAATCCTTATTTCCTTAAACAGTTTTATGAATGATTTGTTACTCCTCACCTGTATTTTTCTAGAAATTCTTTGGTAACAAAGTAACGATTTACATTATTACAATTGCTATCATCATATGGTAGGTTTAATATTTTTCAAATATTAAACAAAGAAAGGATCAACAGTAATACATTTTCCTTCATATTTTAATTTGACAAGTACATGTTCAGTTCATCATGGCAAGCTATAATAATACTATGTATTGCTATATGTTCGATTTTTGTAACAATTGCAATTTCAGAGGAATAAAAACAAGAACTGTTGGAGGACAGCGACGCTCGACTATTCGAAAAAGGTTGTCACAAGGGTATTTTATTGATTATAATAATGCTTACTTATATGAATACATAAAATTGTCCGAAAATGTACAAAGGCTTGTTATTAAGATGTTTTATCGAGTAAATCACTGCTTTATTAATATGAATGCATAAAATTGTCAAAAAAAAAAAGCACAAACCATTCAGTAGTTATGAAGATACACAAATGTACCACCTTACCCGTAAAACTTAACCAAGAATTTCTAAGTCAAAAAAGGGGCATAATTATGCAAAAGAGCAAATCAGAGTTATGGGACTTGTGCCAATCATGTTAGATAATCACAGAGATACCAGCTTACGCAAAAGCTTTACCAAGAATTTCTAAGTCTAAAAAGGAGCATAAATATGCAAAAAAAGCAAATCAGAGTTATGAGACCTGTGCCAATCATGTTAGAAAATCACAGTGAAAAAGTGTATGAAGTTCCAATCCGATTCCTTCAGTAGTTATGGAGATACGAGCTTACACACATAAACTTAACTTAACCAATAAAGTGAAAAAGGGGCATAATTATGCACAAAAAAAGCAAAAACAGAGTTATGGGACTTGTGCCAATCATGTTAGATAATCAAACAGAACAAGTGTGTGAAGTTTCAATCCAATCCCGTACAGTAGTTATTACACCCAAAAACTTAACCACAGGAACTCTGACGCCGCTAAATGGGTGACTTCCACTGACTTTTACAGCAAATAAGCAGAAATGTCAACTAATGACAAAATAGTTATCACACATGAATGAATGAAATCGGCCTGAAATCGAAATCAAATCGAATTTTTGGTGTATCTTTGCACAGGCAGTCCGTACGTGGCTTGAATACTATACATGTACATAACCACTGCAATGTTTTTTTATTAAATTAAATATTTATTTATTCACAATGATTTTAAAGCATCAAATCTTTAGTAAAACAACAACAAAAAATTGTTCTTTTAATTTAATCCAGATAATACATGGATGAAATTAAAAGAGCAACTTTCTTTTGTTGTTTACTAAAAATTTGATGTTCTAAAAACATTTTGAACTAGTTGAGTTTTTGTCACAAAAACATATGTCTCCCAAAACTATGTATTGTCACTCATCCGAAGTTTCATTGAAATCCCACCAGTAGTTTGACCTGTGAAGGCTGGACAAGATTTTCCTATTTTTGTATTTTCTGATCGCAAGATCAGTAAATACATAGCTAACATCCACGGTCTAACACAAATTTTCCTAACAGACCTAACAACACAAAGTAGTTCTCACTCAGAACTGCTTAAAAACCAGCAATTTAAAATAAAGAATAATTTTTAATGTATGCATTTAACGAATTACAGTGCATTAAAAGTTTAGAGTAGTCAATAGAAATATGAGGTTACAATCACAAATTTCGCGGATGAATATCTTTTTTACCCAATGAAAAATGTTCGGCTATTTCCGTAAAGCTTAATCAATGAAAATGCTATTTTTAGCTATGTCGACTACCGAATACTCCAGAGCGTAGTACACATAAATCTGACTGTCGAGTAGTGGAATATATACATGTCGTACTGTTTTGGCGAGAAGATTTTCGATTAATTATTTTCATCAGTGTTAAACAACAGGTTTATAGTGAAAAAAATACCTCGAAATTAGTAAGGATTACAAACACGGAATGGAAATTCTCAATTTAGAATTACAATGTATTTGTTATTATTCAAGCTACATATGTATTACTTCACCGTGGTGCAGAGGTAGCGCGCTCGTTTAGGGTGTGAGAGGCCCAAGGTTCAAATCCTAGTCGAGGCAACTTTTTTTTTTTAAGTGTCTTTTTTAAGGAAGTAGCCACGATATGCAAGGATAAAGTATGGCTGTCATAAAAAATGAAAATGATTTTTTGATGCAACTCCAGTCATGCAAAATTCCATATGTATCAATCTCAAACTGTTATAGACGCAGTCGCTGCGTAAGATTTATTATAAACTTATATAGGAAAATACATACAGATAGTCAGTATGATTTAGATTGCAAAGATCAGAAAATACCACAGAGGTTGCAGCCCTTTGATTAGCTCTGGCGGCCACTTTGTGCAGCAAGGAATTGTGCACAACTAGGAATGGTCACTCCTGTAAAGGTTGGTTGAAATCCCACCAGTAGTTTGACCTGTGAAGGCCGGATAAGACTTTCCTATTTTTTTTGCTCTGGCGGCTATTTTGTGCAGCGAATCAGAACGTGCTGGTGATGTGCACAACTATGGATGGTACTCATCACTCCTGTAAAGTTTAGTTAAAATCCCACAAGTACTTTGCCCTGTGAAGGCCGGACAAAATTTTTCTATTTTTAGCTCTGGTGGCCATTTTGTGCTGCAACGGTAGGCCAACCAGACGGAGGTCTGACCAAATAGGCATTTCTCTTGCTATTTTCTTTTGTTTAATAGAGGGCCATGGCCCATTATTCTCTTGTTACAGAATGAATTATATTGTTCTCTTTTGTTCAGTTTACAGTTACTGAAAGAGTTAGATGGCCCCCTATAACCCTATTCTGAAGTGCGGACAGACAGACAGACGGCAAAGGCAAAAACAATATGTCTCCCATAAAATTTGGGAGATATAATAAAAAAGTATTTAATTTATCAAAAAAAACAAAAACAAAACGGAAGTACAATGTAGTCATGACTCATGTTCATATATATAATAGTAAAGTATCCAAGCCACGCACCAACTGCCTGTGTATCGTTGCAGCCCTAGTAGGGGATCTACTTCTCTTCCTAGAAAGTAATGGGTAATTTTAGTACTAAATATCAGGCTTCATAATTAAAAGTTATTCTATATTAAGAACATATTTGGATTCCCATGATTTGTCATTTTTGTGACAAGTCGAATAATTAAATTGACCTTTTCGAAAACCTAGCTAAACACTGTTTTCCGGTAAGTTACCGTTTTAGCTCTGGGGAATTACACCAAATGAAGTACATAACACAGTAACGTGATATTTGTATTTTTCTATCATTATTTAACCGTTTAAGGTGAAAAAATTGATGTTTTTGAAAATTATCAATATTCCTTTAATATTTATTGCAAGTTATTCAAAATAATAAATTATTTGTAATGAAAATCAATAAAATTCAAACAGACGTAGTGAAATCTTCCATAATAAATAAGGTTATTTTCTGCGTAAACTTGTGTATTTACTTTATTTTTTGTATGGAATTATTCATACAATGATATTTAATTAATTTCTTATAAAGAAATAACTGTTTTATTTCAATTTAATTTTAAAAAAGGCCGAAAACATCGAGTTCGCTATTACACTCCATTAAGTGAATTCCCCAGAGCTATGTACAGAAAGTACCGGAAAACGGCGTTTAGCTAGGTTTTCGAATTCGTGAATATCCGACCTATTGATTGGTAACATGTAATAATTTTTTGGTGGATGTACATATTAAAATATAGTTTTTAAGTAAATACGATTTTTGTACGGGAACTACTCACATGACAGTAGACCAATTTAAGAAATATGGAATAAACTAATAAACAAATTAGACGAAAATGTGCTATCCGAAATTGATTTACAAAAGATAAGTTCTCGTACCCTGATTTCCGCCACTTGGATGTTCATTCCAACAATTATTTCCATATCTGCAGTTACCTTGTAGAAAAAACCTACACACAACCATAATAATTTTTATTTTTGTAATATCAAAATGTAAAAATTAATGTTACTTTCATTTCGTTTAAAGCTTTGATAATTGCCGTGCTGACACTCCGGAATAAACAGCTAAACTCTGTATAGGTCTACCGCATAGTAATCTGGAGACACGTGCATAAAACTAGAAAACATTCGTGCACAGCTAGCGATAAATTGTTCAACGGGGAAAAAACACATAAAACCCTTAAATATTTTTAAATATTTGGATGATTGACAATGCTTTTTTTACTCTATAATATATCTTTTTTTAAGACTGGGAAGACAAAATAAAAATGTGTTCCCAGTTTAAGACATTACCAAATGATTACCAATTTTGATGCTGCGACTGAAAAAATACTGAAACTGATCCAGATTCATATATAAAAATCTACTCATTAACATCAAGCTAATGGTTTTATTTCTTATTGCATATTTGAATTTTTGTTCTATTTAGTGTTACTGGTCATATAACTGTTTCGTTACTGAGTGGCAATACTCTTTTTTCTCATAAAATTGTTTCTGTAAGTCCAAAGTCTGAAGTCTATCTCTGTTGTTACCGACATCTTGAATTTTTTAGGTCGGAGTGAAATATATGTTTATGTTTAATATTGTTAAAGATGCATATTAAATCGTTTTCGAAGTCAAGATATCATAAAAGTGTCGCAAACGCCAATGCAATAAATAACTATAATAGTATATCTGAACTTTAGTCAGATTGAAAGTGTCCTTATCTTTTATATAGTTAACCTAAATAAAAGTAAGAATTTGACCAAGATAATTGAACCTTTGTAATACATTGACAAAGTTTTATGATTATATTCTTATCAAGATAGGAATAACTGAAAACAAGAAATATTATACGACGAAATATAGTTATGTTTTGGACAATTGTTAGCATAAGTTTTCTTAGTTTCTCTGCAGTAAATGGTAAGTCATGTCTGCACATTCGATCGCTTTTTGAAATATGAATAATGATCTGTTGACCTGTTGTAATTGTCTACATTGACCTGTTGTAATTGTCTACATTTATTGATAATAATTAAAAAAATTGGATTTTATAGTTAAGTCATCATCATTATCATCATCACCATCATCGTCAATGTTATTATCATTATTATTTTATTTAACGAAATTTGACATCATTGAAACATTAATTTATGTGTTTTTGAAGATAATTTAAACGGAATGTCACTAAAGAGCAAGTTATCATATTAAAAACCCTCCGCCACTAAATAAACAAAAACAATAGCAAACACATTAATGCGATAAAATTTAGCGTAAAACCGAAAATAACTTGATTGAATTAAGCGCCCATTATTGAACTTTTCTATGATATGACAAGAAAGCGACTAACACATCGCACGTACATGACCAAATCTTACTGAATAAAAATGAAACGCAATTCATGCCATCTTACTGCGATAAAATAAAGCGCATATCACTGAATGGTTTAAAAATAAAATAAAATAAAACGCAAGCTGTTGTGACTGTAAGTTGTTTTTTTATTGTCAAGGTCAGTGTCTAGGACACTGGACATTTCTTCAAGGGAGATGTTGGAACATTAGTTCAACTTCCGGCTCATGGCAGACAGGAATTGTATGGTCATTATTTCTTTATTAGCAGATAAAAATTTATGTTAAGTTCAGAAAATTTATTTAAATTTAATGTTAATGAAAAATGTAAAGGACGAGGGGAGATGGACCCGTCTTCCAAGAGTGACCAAGAGCAAGTTGAATATATTGCGTTGGATCTTGTTTGATATGTAAATATAATTAATTATGATCCAGCTTGCTTACAGAACGTTGGTGGTTCTACTCAGGACTGGTGCCCGTCCGTGCCTGAAATAATGCACGGAAGGGCACCTGAGGCCTTCCTCTACCAGTAAAGCAGGAACGCCGTGATATGACCTAGTTGTGTCGGTGCGACGTAAAACCCAATCAAACAAACAAGTATTAATTAATATGTAAACGTTATTGTATTGATGCCATAGTTTTATGAAATGGACACGGATTTTTTTTTTTCGTTTTAAGGATTATTGCCAAAAAATAGGTGGGGATCTTGCAAACATTGATTCGGCAGACAAGCAGAAAAATGTCACTCAAGTCATTAAAAACGGTAACATTTCTTACATTGTGCATAAACTGAACATTCGTACACTGTATTTCAAACTCATTGGTGGAACTTATATCGAAATCTTGTCCGTCTTAACCAAGAGGAATTTTGAACCACAGATCAATGCTACATTTTTATCAATTTTAACTATTCACGTGCTTTAAAACAAACCCTCATAAAAAGGATCGTGTAAGACCATATAATTGTTTCAAAATACTAATATTAAACATACATTAACAACATATCCTTTGTCAAAACAACTCAGTTTTCTTATGAAGACCCATAACGCGTGCTATAAGGATTTTAACAATGTCAAAAGGGAGGCAACTTATTTGAGCGTTTGTCTTCTGTAAAAAGCGTTATTGCAATAATAACGTCATCTCAAACTGGCATTTGATTCTGGTTGATTGGTTTGACCAGAATTGCACTAGGCACGGTTTAGCCGTTTTCAGATCCGTGAAAAAATATGTACTAAATCAAAATATATGCTCTCACAACGATGCATTTATTGTGAAACTTTGTATTTTACGAGATATTTTGTCACGTTATAGGGATATATAAATGTGTATGATAAAATAGGGATATACTTGCATGCAATACGTATCTTCTTGTCTCTTTAGCGGTATATATGGTAGATATTATACTACATGTATATTTTGCATTAATCCAACCTGAATCTAAAATCTTTTTTACTTTTCTTAAATCTTAAGTTAGTACATTTTTTTCAAGTTTAATTTTTTGAAATATTTTTGCTCAACTGGAGGAGGCATGCTGCTTAAAAATTTTGTTTCTTCTTTCAGCAAACGAGATATCAATTCACACAGAGAATAGATACCATTATCATTATCTTCATGACCTAGGATTAGATGTGACAAATACAACGTCGGTTACATTTACAGTAAAGGTACCCATGTAGATATAACAAGTCCAATAAGCACGGGGGAGGAACTGTTACACGGAAAATAGATTTTTTTTCTAAGAACACATTACTATTTTGACGAGTGTTTCATAGGTATATAATATATATACAAATGTTTTCGGACGAAATTTGTAACGTTTTCCAGCAACTCCGTGGCAGTTACCAGAACAAATCCTGACAAGTTATCAAAGAACTCCATTCTCCATGTAACAGTTTCTCCCCCATGATAAGGTTAACATCGGATAAACTTGGTTCGGGCAAGGCGAAAGTTATCTCGGCTGCTGATTAATTGGCAATTACTGATCAGTTATCCAGGACAGCCGGTTAGGTGGAGCGACCAAAATGTGTTGAAATCGGCGGGGGAAAACAGACCAAAAAAAGCTTACAAACAGAAACGAACAGAATCTATATATAAACTTTATCATTACGTAACTGCAGTCGTTCAATTAATTAAGTTATATCAACATTAAACAAAGCATGTCAATATCAAGGGACAGCACGTACTTGTTTTCAAACTTGGTTCATGCAAGCACTTACCAAACTTGCGAACGTGCAGCCAAATAAGACCACGTTCTTACGTAGCACATTTCGAACAAAGCTTCCGATTTGACAAGAGATGCTTTTTGTCGTTATGCCTGCTTACTTTTTCAGACCTGCAGGTTTTAAATGGTTCAAACTTACAAAATCTTTCTTTTTTTCTGTTACATGTTAACTGCAGGATCTGTTATATTCTCTGCTATTGTAACAAACAACCATATAGAGGCAGAAAATGCTGTATCTTTTAGTGAAATTGCAAAACAATTTTGAACAGAATTAACGATAGTAGCTCCTTTACTTTTTCGAAAGTGTTTTCTCACTATTGTAACATTGGGGTATTGTTATGTTTGCACATGTAATGGCATGTTTGCATGCGTATTAGTTTGCTGAGCTAGAAAAATATGCTTAACCAAAAATACTATACCGACAATAGTAATGTTTTGAAGAAAAAAAATATAAGAAAACTGAATAAAAAAAATAAAGAATCAAAAATATGATTTTCGGATTTCGATTCCGCGCAATGATGATAGAGAAATAGACAATAAATAAAAAAATCAGGTTGATTCGATCTTAAGCAAGATTCTCTTGTCGTTGGTTAAGAATTAAAAAGTATGAATTAAATTAACATGACTTTTTTATATTATCGCTGCAACTGAGATTACTGAGAGTGAAAACACGATATACATCTGTTGATAATAATGTTAATAATGATTATGATGATGGTGATATTTTCAGAATAATGTCATTAATAGTGATGGTGGCGTTGACGACGTTTATCATGTCAATTTTTTTTTTTTTGTTGTTGCGTTTATTTAAGGTCGCCGCCGGAAAGCCCATATGGGCGACCGTACACTCAAGTCGGGCCATCCTATAGCGTACCGCCGAGATTTTTCGTCGATTTTTTCCAGCTTTATTGGTGGAGGAAGACCCCAGGTGCCCCTCCGGGCATTATTTCAGGCACGAGCGGGCACCTGTGTAGAACCACCGACCATCCGTAAGCCAGCTGGATGGCTTCCTCACATGAAAGATTTCGACCCGAGTGAGGATCGAACCTACAGCGGTGAGGGACCTGTGATCTCAAGTCAGCGACTTTAACCACTCGGCCACGGAAGCCCCTATCATGTCAATTTTATTCTATACCATGTATAAATAGTGACATATTCTATTAATAAACTCATTTATCATTGGTTGTTTCAGGCCTGTAACGACGCCCACATTGCACTGTCGAGTGTTAAGGGAGACGACAGAAAGGACACGTACGAGATTGTGATTGGTGGATGGTCAGATTCTCAATCAGTCATCCGTGACTGTAAACAATGTGCACATATGGCCGAAGTTCGCCATCTGTATGTGCAAGCTTTCTTTAAATAATTTGAATTATTTTGATATTGGACAACAATGATTTTAATTAATAGTTAAACCTATGCACGTTTCATTTTTATTGAACCTTTAACCTGGGACATACTATAACTTATCGTATGTCCCAGCTTTAACATTACGACTACAGATAATACTTTGATTCACTTTTAGGCGGCTACAAATCCCACGTGCAGCCGTCATTGCGCCACGGATAATAATAGAAAATCTGCTAAAAGCAGATTTATGATTTTATTGTTTCTATAAATATTTTTAGTTCTCCCTCGAAGAAGCATGTTTTTCGGAAGACAAATCCTACGAACTACCAAAACATTACGCTTACATATACATGTATATTTTTTTTATAAAACAAATCATGTGTTCCAAAAAATTAATAACTTTGTAAATACATGTTGTATATTGTGTTTTGGTTTACTTAAATGGCAAATGGCAGCGCACTATATTCTTACGCGTATGTATTTCCTGCGATTTATAATATATGTGATAAGGCACGTAAAATTATGTTGACCTTGTTTAGTATGTTTGTTCTCTAATAATGCGGCTAGAGGAGAGATATAGAAAATATCAGGGCATCTATGGACCACAATTATATAACCGGTCATTCCTACTAAGTTTAAACAGACCAGAATGATCGGGTTAAAACATTGCTTTAAGTTGCTATAAGAACCAAGAATTAATAAAAGTTGTTTCAGGGTCTCAATTCATGTGATGAAAACGAAATTCCATTAATGTTTAGCTATATATTCTACAGTAGTATAAAAAGACTTGAAACACTTTCATTGCTAATTTATAAAATCTTTTTTTCTTCAGATCTCATCCAGTTAGTTGTACGGAAGCACGTCCATTTTGGATAAGCTGGAACAATAGTAGTATCCGGGTTGGTATGGGCAATAGCGTCGGCGCACAACAATTCATGGCATGGAACGATCCTGCTCCACATCCGGTCAACTATGTCGCTGTATCAACAGGATTTGGTTCTACTGGAGACTGGACATTTAAAAAACGTATTAATATAGATACGATAGAACTTAATTTTCGCCGTTCTTGGAGGGCGACATATGCTGATTTGACTATTACTACCTGCCTGCCCTAAGCCAATCAGACTGGAGAATTCAATAACAATAATAACCGGTATACCGATAGGGCCATGCTTAACTTACAAAAACAACCGAATATTAAAGTTTTTATTGTACCCTACGACACAGGGTAAACAATATTCGGAATATTTCTATTAAAGGAAGAAACATTTATTAGCTTTTGTTCTGCAAGGAGTCTTAATTATTTACGATTTTCTTTTCGAATATTTGTCTGAACAGTGAAAAAGCTATTATGCTTTTGATGTAGTAAATACTGACATATACATGTATTTTGCTTTATTAAAGTCTATCAACCCTTTGCATTTTCATGCGATCCAAAAATCGTTTTTTGTTAAAGTGACTGTACTGTTTTTATTCGCTCAGTATTTTTCCAGAATAATTATCTTAATTACGAAAACTGACCAAAACTTGATCAGCGTTGCAACGTTTTACATCTTAATCGGGCTAAAAATAGCCCAAAAATGAGATTTTTAATTTATATCTGAGTATATTTCTTAACTATATTTTGTCTATTTTTTCTGCTTTAAGTGTCCCAGCTGACCTTTTTTAGAAATTCAAATTTTATGTTTTTAGGCTTTTGGACTTCAGAAGAGTTCCTTTAATGTTTCATTATATTCTAAATGTTTTTCCCTTTTCAGACCCCCACATGCCCGGACAATATTGGATTGGTGCATCTGACTTTGGGGACAGAAATGCGTGGACCTGGATGCCGAGCGAATCAGACTTGCACTACACGAACTGGTTTCCAGGACAACCAGACAACACCGACAATAAACAACACTGTCTGGTTCTGGATGCCAACAGTCAAATGAAATGGCGTGATGAAAATTGTGAAGATCATAAGAATTTCCTCTGCGAGAAACAAAGAGAACAATCTTCCATTGTTGGATGATAGATTTTCAAAAATAAAAAAAAAATGTACCAGATATCATATTTATCAATTATTGTTGTTGCCAATAGCTTGCCTCTGCCAGGTAATTAATATATTTTAAATGTTTTTTTACGATAAATAGTACATTCTAGATAGCGAAAGAACAAATCGGCGTACCAAAAAACGACCATGCCACGCGGAAATCTCAAGGCCATATTCTTTGGACTAGAGCTTTGTGCCTTATATTACTGTAATTTCCATCCCCAACGAAATCCCACAAATTGTGTTAGAAGGGTTGGCACCCGAATATGTGTTGATTTTATTTTACAAAAAATATATTTACATACCTTTTCTATAGCCTTAATATAAAATTCCGTACATTTTATGCAGAGAATGAAAAAGGCAAAGTTAACATAACTAGTAACTTTCTACAGGAAATGGAAAACTCGGTTTTCCATGACTGATACACTGACAGCGTGAGAATAAAAATGAATAGTGCTTTAACCCTTTACCTCATATAGACGTGTTTTGATGCCCCCCCCCCCCCCCCCATTTTGAGGCCTAAAACAGTGTAAATGCCGCTTTTAGACCCCAAACACGGTTTTCTGTTTTTCGTTTGAGAAATGTTGATAAAAAAGTGATCACTTTTTCGGCGTCGCCCCCTATCAAAAAGGTAGGTTGCCAGAAGGAGGATGTGCCTTCTGTTTCTGGGGTTTGAAGGGGGGAAGTAGCTCACCTCATCGCCAAGAAAATTTTGGTCATGTGACAGGCTAAAAATGACATCAGGTCGATCGTAAGGTAACGTGTAACCAACGCTGAAAGGCCTTTTACTCTATTTCAATTCATTGAGAAATTGCAGCGCTTTGAGATCAGTTTTATGAGAGAAAAAACACGAAACAATGCAAAATTGTGATTTTTGGCAATTTTGAGACGTCCCCCGTTGCCATGGTAACATGAAATTTAAGATTGAGCTTGCTGTTACAGAGGCGAAGGTCCAGTCAACATTTGTGCCCAAGTTTCATCTGTACTGAAGCAATTTTCATAGCTTCATAGCAGTTTGAACTTGTAAAAGGAGGTTTTTCATGAAAATCAATATATTTTTTTCATTATTTAATTATTATATATTAATAATAGTTATATTTACACTGCTCCAAACTAATATAATTTTTAATCAGCAGTGAAATCACAGAAATAGTGTTTCCACGGTGGGCAGCAGAAAATGGTGTTTTTTAAAAAATAACACTTTATATATGGAAAGAACAAATCGCCAAGCCAGAAAACGACAATGCCACGCTGAAATCTCCAGACCATATTCCTTGGGCTAGAGCTAAATGAGCCTTACATTGTTGTAAATCGTACGATAGATTTTGCTGGATTGAACTCGCACATTATATTACGCTCGATGCAAATCGCACAATAGGTTGTGCTGGATTCAATTTGCACGAAAGATTACCCTGGATGCAACTCTAACGTTAGATTTCTCTATTTTCACCTTCCACAGTAAATGAATCTGAATGTAACTTGTATTGATAATAATAATAATAATAATAATAATAATAATAATAATAATAATAATATTATTATTATTATTATTATTATTATTATTATTATTATTATTATTTTATAATAATAATAATAATAATAATAATAATAATAATAATAATAATAATAATAATAATAATAATATTATTATTATTATTATTATTATTATTATTATTATTATTAGAAAGTGACATATTAAGAGTACATAATAAACATACTCGTATTTGTTTTCTCAAAAAACGATTGCATTTGGTAAGCGATATAACGTTCAAATATTTTTTGAAATGGTAGGTAAAATGGAGTTGGGTATTATTTCCTTTTTATAAACTGGAATAACGGAAGCGTCTTTTAATTTATCTTTTAATTTATCTGGAAATATACCACTGTATATACTCTTGTTTATTATAGATGCTATTTCAGGCGTTATGTAATCACCACAGTTATTTTAAATATTTGGGATTATCCCATCTAACTTTAACATCCATTCTTGATATGATATTTTTTACTTCCAAAGGAGTGATAAAATCTATGTCAAATTTATGAAACGACAACTTCTCATCTAGATAATGTTTTAAATTTGAAAAAGTGTCAGTCTCAAATTTTGTCTTTTCTATTATATTTGAAATGTTGATAAAATATTCGTTAAAAGCGTGTAAAATATTAAGTTCCCCATCAATTATGTTTTCTATATGTCACTATAGATTTATAAAGAGTGCAGTTTATTGTTTGAATATGTCTGCATTTCATTTCCTGCAAAATTCTCGAGTTCGTTATTCATTGAATATGTTTGCATTGCGAAATTCTCCAGTTTGCTATTAATCGTACATATTGCGACCTTTCATTTTTGATAATCAAACACCCTCATACCAGTCGGAATGGTCGGCTTTTATGACTTTCGAAAGGGCCCGAGAAGTTGCACTTGCCCTTTCACAAAATCTGATGATTCCATAAGGGGCGTCGCGCTTCGGCGCGGACGCCAACAATCTTACATTTGGTTAAAAAGAAACAAGATATGAGAAATAAGAAAACAGCAGTCTTTAAGTTTCCATTTTTAACTCAGACTGTGTTTTTTTTTCTAATTTTGTTATTTTAGTCTGATCATAATTCTTTTTTAAAAAATAAGTCAGTGTTCATGTCATTTACTTTTTTTGTTACAATGTGTTTCCTATTCTAATTAAAATGTGGGACCAAAAATATAATTATTATTGTTCCAGTTAAAATATACAAACCGGGGTATGAATTTTTAAAACTAACGCACAGATATATTTAAATCTTCATCTCTGATAAATATTATTGCTATGACGAAACTGGTAATATCTTTTTCGAGATTTAAATACTACAGCGTATTTGAAACACCGTAATATTTGATGCACGTCTGAACCATAGGCCTAACTTGTGTGCAAGATCACTCCATTTTTTCCAATATAATATAAGTGTAAACGCTTTTAACCCAAATCGGATAAGAATTACACAAAATCGCAGATTTATATATTGCACTGTAGATCCGTGACAAAATAGAATATATATCTAAATCAAATCTGAATATATATATATTTATTATATACCTATAAATGAAATATTGAGAAATATTGATGAAATAAAGTGCTTAATTTCATTTTCGTATTTTCACTGTAAAAAGTATTTTAGTGAAACATATTGTCCGTGTTTACACTGGTGTCTTGTCGAACTACTTTCTTTTAAATTCTGCCAGTACACAAAATTTAAGGAATAGTCTTCCAAATTGTAATTTTAAAAATAGAGACAAAGTATATAATAAACAGAAAATTCAAGTTTTTTCTATAAATAAATGATTTATTTTCATCTTGTGGCGTGAAAAGTTATCACATTTCACCCGTGGCTACCGCCACTCATGAAATATTTATTTTCATACCACTTGATGAAAATAAATCATGTATTTGCAGAAAAAACTTGAATATCCGCTATATATTTTTAACATCTTTTGCATATTTGTCCGTTTTAAATGTCCATGCAGTTTATCTATGTAAGAATGTCTTTTTGTGTTTAGATTTTAGGACCTCAGTGGAGCTCCTTTAATTAAATACCTTAACAAACTAATATATATCATAAACCGTTTTTAATTTTAAGGTCCCAGCTTCTTTCAATATTTCTTTTTGATACCACTTCCAATTGTTCTTGCGTCTTAATGCTCGAATGACGAATAAAAACTGTTTCGAGCATGTCACGTGATGGTGTGCCAACCACGTTAACTTTTTGGTCCTTCCGAATAATCCAGACGGGGAACAATAGTTTCATATAAATACATAGCAAATTAAATCGTGTGACTGAAAGAGATCTGAAAATGTTTTGCTGGCGTCTTTAACGGATTTGTTAAGTAAAGTTTTTTTGGTGAGAATCAATCAGTGGTTAAACATACAAGATTGTCCCCGAGCTAAGATTCATGGTCGAGTGATTTTCCAAGCACTTTACTGTTAGCTACATTTGCGCGAAGTTTGTGAGAGGGATGTGACGGAAACGAAAGTATGGGAGGTTTGGAATTGTTTCTTTTATTTTAGGACGTCGAAGAACTAACTATCAATCAAAAATGTAAGTTATTTTATATTTATTAAAACTATATAGCCGAAACGTTATATTATCTGATTATTACACATGAAAATCGGGAAAGCGTTACTGTTTTTTTTTTAAGAAAAAAATGTAAATATTTCACAGAAAATCCTGGAAATGTTATTGTATCACATAAAATTTGTAAATTATCAAATATTTTTCGTAGGTACAATTTGTTTGACACAAAGTTAAATTTTCCATGAATAAGGACTTTAATTATAAATTAGCATTAATCATAAGGATTATACATGTTAAACCTTTTAATTTTTCATGTGACATTTCGATCATAGTTAACGGTATTTTTGACCATAATGATCACTATTCATATTTACTTACCATTGTAGCCATCTAATCAAGACCACCTGATACTTATAGTATGATGGGATGGGGGATTTCATGTTTTGTAGGAATAAAGTTAAATTTCTATCAATTGTTGTAGTGTTACTTTCGATCAGTTGTCGTAGTATCAGTGTCGATGAACTGTCGTATTCGACCAAATGTCACATTCGACAAACTAGCTGTCGTATTCGACCAAATGTCACATTCGACAAACTGTTGTATTCGACGCGATGTCTATGGAAGCGAATATACTGATATATACGCAATACTGAAAATGTTTTTGAATTATTTGTTTGATAGATAATTAGATGGCAAAAATGTTGATATAAAATGCTGTATCACTAAATGTCATTTTACTGAATGTGTGTAATGGTTTTGTCCAGCATTGCATTGGAACATTCCATTCAAAGTTAAAGGGATTTCGAAATCAAAAGCTTACAACAGTATATAGTCTGAGGCGGGATGTCCTGGCTCTATACTAAAGTGGTAGTAAAGGGCAGCTTACTGGTTTCAGCAGTGTAGGAGTTAAATCGTAACGCATAATTTAATTGTGTGTGTTTTTTTTTTAACTGTGGCACTATATTATTTAATACTGTAAATAATTAGTACAT